CATTTAAAATAAGGTATTTTAAAGAAGTGAACAGCACTCATTCACATATGAGCAAGGCAGGCCACACACATTATTTTTAGTTACTCATTTTATCTTTAAATGGCCTATTTAGGCGGCTCTGCTGCATCTTATTCCTTCGTGACCATCAGTAAACAATCCATGGGGGTAGAAAGCTAAACAGAAGAACCTACTGCTGATTTCTTTCTCAAGAACAAACAGAATGAAAATAACCTGACATGTAAATGAAACATACCTTTCTTTCAAGATGCCTGAGAATCCCTGATGACAACTTACAAACTTGGTGATGCCAACGTCAAGTTCAGTGAGGCCGTGCTTCATCATGTCTGCAAAACTCTCAGCTTCCTCCTCCTCCTCACCCTCCTCCGAAAGGCCATCTTCTTCCTCCTCTTCCTCTTCTTCCAACTGCACATCAGAATTCTTTCCACCCTCTCTGGCACTTACGGCCGCGGGTGGCCCAGGCACGTGCACACTGCCAGGCAGAGAGACATGCTCCAGCCCATCCTGACCTGTGGTCAGACAGCTGTCCAAGACCTTCTGTCTTTTTGCCTCCTCAGCTGGGGCCACACTGTCATTATCTTCGACAGCATGAGACCCACGTTTCAGCGACACACCAGTCACTTCTGTCAGCTCCATTTTTAAGGCTCCAAGAAAACATTTAAGAGAACCTTTTAGGAAGGAAGAGAGGGCAGGAAGTAACTAACCATCACTTCAGTTAAGAGGTGGGTTTGAGCAAACAGAGGCACAGTTAACTTTGTTCCTAGGGTCCTAAAACTCATTTATTAAAATAATTCTTCCTAATGCTGGCACAGAAAAATGGCACAACACTTCTGCATAGAATTCGAGAGTGTGCATCAAAAACCTTAAAAAAAATATATGTCCTTTGACCCGGAAATACTACTTTCAGGGAGTATCCTAAAATAATTAAAATAATTAAAGCGCTTTTGTTAAGTGCTTCAAGTTCTAGCTGTTAAGGATACTCATCTCAGTGCTTTTATATTACCAAAAAGCTAAGAACAATGATGCCGGGGTATGTAAACTAAATAATACATAGAAACCGTGTGGATAGAAACTGGGCAAGGCGGTTACTTCTAGGACAGGGTATGGGTGGCTGGGTACAACAGGCAGACCTGCTGCTTTTACTGAATACTATAGTCAGGTCACTTGAACTTTGTTTCACGAAGATTATTATCCTTTCAAAAAACTGATTAAATAAAAATAGTGCATAAATTCACTTACATGAACGCATACTCATACCATACTAAAAAAAAAGGCAAGGGGGATGCAGCGTTGTTTATTGGGTATAGAGTTTCAGTTTTGCAAGATTAGAAAGAGTTCTGCACACCTGTTGCACAAGAGTGCAAATGTACGCAACACTACTGAACTATATGCTTAAAAATGGATAAAATGGGGGCGCCTGGGTTAAACATCTGCCTTTGGCTCAGGTCATGATCCCAACATCCTGGGATCAAGCCCTGCATTGGGCTCCCTGCTCAGGGAAGAGTCTGCTTCTCCCTCTACCCCTCCCCCCCATGCTCTCTCAATAAAAGTCTTACCAAAAAAAATGAATAATGTTACATGTTCTGTGTATTTTGCCACAGTTTAAACAACACAGATTATCATTTAACCAGCCCACACACAATGTAATGAGGGAAAGTCTAAGAATCCATACATACTTCCCAGTACTGAGCAGCTTGCCCAAGGGGTAACATGTGGCAATCAAAATAAATACATTTATCTAATTTGATCTTACTTGGTGCTCTTGGTGAAATAAGGATAAAAGTTTTCCTATGCTAATTATATAGGGAGATGATATAATTAACATGCTATGAACTTAGTAAACAAACTCATAAAGAACATAAATGAGCAGAAAATTAATATTCTAAGGTTCTCCAAGGCCTAGTTAACAAGAAACCTAACTATGGAAGCATCTACAGCAGAATAATAATAACAATGAACTAAAGTTTAAGAATCCACATTTGCGGGGTGCCTGGCTGACTCGGAGTGTGAGACTCTTGATCTTGGGAGTCATGAGTTCGAACCCCACGCTGGGTGTAGAGATTATGTAAATAAATAAAAAATCTGATCTTGCCTCATTGTCAAAAATCTAGAATAGAAAGAAAAGAAAAAGACAAATACATGCACAAAATGAAAGAAAAGATGATGGTGACTACAAAAAAAAATGGGAGAAGAGGTACAGAAAGATACCAATAAAATAAATTTCCTTTCAAAGACAAAAATTTAAATAAAGAAAATGGAAGAAAGTAAGAAACTGAAACAAAGGTTGATCATAGCTAGTTATACAAAATTACCTTTAATTCAAATAAGAAAGCATTTACTCATTTGTTCTAAGCAACGTATAATAAAAAAGGAGTATTGGCTCATGAAATGCTGATGCTCTTTCACGCACACGTTCTGTCACCAAAGCTGCCCTCACAGGGCCTACAGGCCAGTGAGGGAGACACAAAGGGCACAGGGGGTCACTTGGGGGCTACAGGAACACACAGAAGATTTCAGAGGGCGCTGGTGGTGAGGGTGTCAGAGAAGACCCCTTTCCTAATGGAAGATCAGAAATGAACACCTGAGCCAAGTTTTGAGGACCGGGTAAGGTCACAGAAAGTGGGGAGGAGGCTGTTTGCAGGGGTAGGGGTAGGGGTGGTAGCAGGGGCAGAGACACGGAGGCATGGGAGAGCAAGGAGCACTGGAAGAGGCCCAAGGAGCTCATCACACAGCATGGAGGGTGAAACACACAATGAGAGTCTGAAGCCAAAGCTAGGGAGTGAGCAGATGCCACCGCAGGCAGAATGCAGGGAATTCCATCTTGAAAACCAAACCACCACTGGACTTGTGAGTTCGGAAGATTTCATGGCACCTCTTTAAAGGGAAACGGGTTAGCTGGAAGACTAGGTAAGAGGCTACAGCCAAGGGACGCCTGACTGGCTCAGTCAGAAAGGCGTGTGACTCTTGAGCTCCAGTTTGTGCGTTTGAGCCCCATGTTGGGTGTAGACATTACTAAAAAAATAAACTTAAAAAAAAAAAAAAAAGGTAGAGCCAAAATTGAGCCAAGAAATGAGCACAACATGATCTAAAGCTGAGGCAAGGGCGACAGAAAGGAAGTTTGGATTCAGGGACATTTAGGAGGTGGTGAGAACAGGACTGGATGACAAATGTGGGCAGCAAGAGGAAACACTGGAGGATGACTCAGGTTTGCTGCCTTGGGGACCTGAGGGGCCAGGGGAGCTCCTCCTGGCACAGAAACCCCGGGCAGAGAAGCAGGTGGTGGGAGAAGACAAGCCCACTTATGGTACTGTGGTGTCGAAGGTACCTTGGAACATCCGGAAGCTAGGCACTACACTGTGTGACCCATATTCCTACCCCCAACCTGCAACGGCTTCCCAGTGATGACACTTATATCCTAGCTGGCATGCCAGGCTCCACCAGGAGATCCCCATACCTTCCCAGGCCTGAGCTCTCAGGAGGGAGGAAGCACAGCCAGTAACAGCCACTTCAGCAGCCTGGCTCAGGGACTTTAAGTCAGCAGGATGTCCCCCTCCTTCCCAGAATGCAGAGGATTCATCAAGCTCCTTCTCCACAACTGACGGTCATAAGCCTTGGTGGGAACACCACCAATTTCCTCTGCAGAAATGTCTGCGCCATCCTGCATTGGCACCGCCCACCATCTAGAGATCCACTCGGTACCATGATCTCCCACAGGCCTCTGACAACTCAGTCCCTGCCCCAATGGGTGCCTGTTTTCTGCCTGACTGCTCATGAACTCTCTCTGGATACTTTGTAGACTTCTTCGAACAGGTGCTGAAACTGTTCCCCACCTACAGAGATCAAAGACACACCAAACAGCAAATTTCTAAGGAAACAGTGGACCCGGACAACCAACGACTGGACCCGGACAACCAACCACCATGAATGGTCACTAACATCACAACAAAGAGACAACCAGACACACTGCATGCCCCTGAAAGCACATGCTATTATCTGTGCAGTATTTTTTTTTTTAATTCTTATTTATTCGACAGAGAGAGAGATAGCTAGAGAGGGAACACAAGTGGGGGAGTGAGAGAGGGAGAAGCAGGCTTCCCACTGAACAGGGAGCCCGACCGTGGGGCTCGATCCCGGGACCCTGGGCCAAAGGCAGATGCTTAATGACTGAACCACCCAGATGCCCCTGTGAAGTATTCTTACTGATTGTAACTCGATGTCTAGTTGGTAGGTTAGATGGCATACAGGGACAGAGGTTTTAAACACCACCACAGGGAAGAAACCAGCAAAATTCTGAACGTGGGAAAACTCTACAAGGACAAAGACAGTTCCTTCACTAATAAACAAGAAGGGGAAAAAGAGGGAGGGGAGCTTACAGACAAACCTATAAAGAAATGCAACGAGTGGATCTTTCTTTAAACAAGTCAACTATTTAAAAAACTGGGACAATCGGGGATGCAGAAATACTGGGGATATTAGATGACATTAAGGTAGTATTGCCAATTTTTTTTTTTTTAAGAGTGAGAGCATGAGCGTGCGAGAGTGTGCAGAGGGAGAGGGAGAATCTCAAGCAGGCGCCTCGCCCAAGTGGAGCCCAACATAGGGCTCTAACCCACGACCCTGAAATCATGACTGAGCCGAAATCAAGAGTCGGACAAGAGTTGGACACTTCGACTGAGCCACCCAGGCACCCCAGTATTGTCAACGTTTGAAGGTGTGATTATGTTACTGTGGTTACAGTTAAAAATAGACTCCTTATGTTTTAGAGATACAAACTGAAATATTTAGGGTTGAAAAATTATGAAGTCTGGAATTTGCTTCAGAATAATTTACCAGTGGTGAATGGAAGTGGAGCAGGTACAGATTTGAAACCAAGTAGGTAATTACTGAAACTGAGTGATGGGAACATCACACCTACTTTGAGCTTTTATTTTTATTATAAAAAATTTCAAACCTGGGGCGCCGGCTCCCTGACGTCATGAGAGGTCCAAGGAGCGCGTCTCAGAGGGACCTGGACCCCGGGCGCCCTGGTAAATGGACTCTTAATGAAAATTCAGAAATACATTTTTTAAATAGAAGACAATAAAAATTACCAATAATCCTACCACCCGAGATGGCCGTATTTTGAATCCTGCTTGTCTGAAATGCAGTTAACACATCAGCTGGACCTATTTCCCGAATGCAGGGTGACCCTTCTGTTATTTAAAGATGTAAAAAATGCTGGAGACTTGAGAAAAAAGGCCATGGAAGGTGCTATTGAGGGTTTATTAATAAACCGTAAGGTGATTGTTGATCCATTTCAGATACTTGTGGCAGCAAACAAAGCAGTTCATCTCTACAAACTGGGAAAAATGAAGACAAGAACTCTATCAACTGAAATTATTTTCAACCTTTCCCCAAATAACAGTATTTCAGAAGCTTTGAAAAAATTTGGTATCTCAGCAAATGACACTTCAATTCTTATTGTTTACATTGAAGAGGGAGAAAAACAAATAAATCAAGAAGACCTAATATCTCAGGTTGAAGGTCATCAAGTTTCTCTAAAAAACCTTCCTGACATAACAAATATTACAGAAGTCAAAAAGATATATAAACTATCTTCACAAGAAGAAAGTATTGGAACATTATTGGATGGTATCATTTGTAGAATGTCAACAAAAGATGTTTTGTGAAATGACAGAAGTCTTAAAAATTTTCAGCATTTATAAAAAAACATGGATTTTTCTTTGTTGATTATAATATGTTCAATCATAGAAAACACAGAATGGTACAACAAAGAAAAAAAGCCACTACTAGTCTCTCTTAATATTTTAAAAGATAGCCACTGTTGCTATTATGTGTTATTGTCTTCTAGTCTTCTGTTTCTCTTCAAATATATTTCATCTTTATGTAATTGGGAAGAAAAAAAATTTCAAACCTATAAAGTATAAAGAGATACGCAAACTATTCTGTTCCAATCAAATCACTGATTTTTTCCATTCTTCTGTTCCTCCCTCTGCCATCACCTCTTCTTCAAACATGTCCCAAAAAACCGACGCTCCCATGCTCGCTTCTTCAAGTGCCCCAAGCCTCAGTAGCTGTGAGCTACCACTCAACACTCCGGCTCACTGGTGCTGCTTAGGGTCCTTGCTAGCCCCCAACCAAGTACCAACCCTGCTGTCTCTGTCTGTGCTCCTGGTTGCTGCTGGAGAAAATCACACCCGGTCAGGAGATTCCTCTCTTACAACAGCCATCCCGGGTCAGGGCAGGCTTCTCCCAGTCCTGCTGGCCATCCGCAAAGAAAAGGGGGATCCTCTGACGGACACACCTCTTTCCGGCATCTTCACAAGACCACTTACTGTAACCATTTCCCTAAATATGGCAACCCTCTTAAAAGAATCCACAGTCACTTTAACACTCACTTGCTCCTCAGCACCGCACTTGACCCCCTCAACAAACACTCACCCCATGCACCCTGCACCCGGCATTCTTCCAGGCACTGAGAAAAGACATTGTGGCAAATCAAACTCATGCCCCGCTGGCGCTGGCGTGGAGCTAACATGTGGGGGAAGATCTGGCTTCTGCCTCAAATTGTTTCTTTAAAGTTCAGCGATGGCTTCCTTGTGCCAAAACCACAGCCACTCCATCCTGGCTTTAACCGACGTCTTTACCCAACAGGACATGGCTCATCGTTTCACTTCCTTGAAACTCTGCTTCTCCTCCTTGCCTTTCTCCTGCCTCCCAAGCTGCTCTTTTCCCTTCCTTCTCTGCTGCCACTTAAATGTGGGCATCTCTAGCTTCCTACCCCACCCAGTCTTGTTCCCTGCTCACGCTCCAATTTTCCCAGCCAAGACCCATCTCCAACTTCCTGCAACAGTGATGGCAGCTAAGCAACGGCAGAGGTGGAACGGGAGCTCATTCAAGCCTCTCCTTGACCCTGTGGCTCAGAGAGGGTCATGAGCATCCCCAGAGATTCCGGATCTGGCTCCAGCTTACACGGCTCCGAAGAGCTGAACCAAATGCTCAGATTCAACATGCCCTAAACTGATCTTATCATTTCCCACCATCAACACACATTTTGTGCGTGTTTATATTACGCTTCTTACCTCAGGGGATGTTACCACCGAAGTCAGAATATGGTCATCACCTCAACTCCTTCCTCTCCCCTCTGCCCACATCAGTGATTTCATGAATGCAATTCTAGAAGGTTTAGAATAGCATTGTCATGCCTACCATCCCTGGAATGAGAATATAGGCAGATAATGCCTACAAAGTATCACCCACTGGTTTCAAACCAATCTAGGTTCTGCTGTTTACTACGTGGGTTACTCGCCCTCTCTAGGCTGAGGTTTCTTTCTCTGTAAAGCTGAAAATTGATAACTTGCTCAGAGGTCTGTAATAGCTGTTCCTATTCAACTGTTGGTCATTAATATTTATTATGGATGGTTTACACAGCAGAACTGTATTGCTGAGTCTGGGGAAAAAACAAAGCTTCTTATGCTTCTTTTGTTCTCTGGGCTAATGATTAAACATGGTTTCCTCCTTCAAATACCATTTAATTTTAAGAGACCTCCCAGTACTGCCAACACACCAAATAAACAGGCCTTTAATATTTTTTGGCAGTCTTTTTCTTGATACTTGTGGACACTTGCCTAACCTCTTTTTCTTATTATATTTAACTGTGAAGATGAGCTCATTAACTAATCTCACTTTTGTGTTTCAAATTAAATTATAGTTTTCATTTGGTTTAGCCAATGGCCCTATCACAGACATTAATTATTGAAGTATACATAGCACCAATGACTATAAATCTGGTAGTATATATTTTGCCCAATTCTTTCAGTGGGCCTTGCAGACGAAAACACATTTAATAGAACAGCTGTGCAAACTTCTGGGCTAGGAGAGAGAGAACTCAAATTAGTATCGTTTTCATGAACAAGAACTATATACAAGGGAAGACTAAAATGCAATATAATTTTTAAAATGGGGGGAGGGAGGGAGCAGATCTTGTGAACATGGAAGAGGCTGGGAAGAATTCAATCAGAAAGATAAAACCACCCTGACTGCCCAAGTATGATTTTCCTAAGGAAATCAGTTTTGCATTCAGGAAAATCCAAATATACATATTCAAGCACTGTACCTCACAGCTGTAAAAAAATGAAAGGCTTTTTAAAAAGGCGAGGAAGGGTGGAGGGTACAGCCTCATTAGTTTTTTAAATGGTATTTAAAAAAAAATGTTTTTAAAGAACTGTTAGGATGCACAAATACATGATCCAGAATAGTAATCACAGTCAAGTAATCTAGACCAGAAGCTTGCTTCTGGAACCGAGAAAGAATCTACTGATACTTTCCGATGAACTTCAAAGTCCTACACAATTTTTTGAAGGGAGTACTAAAAAATGGGGTTTTGTGCCTTTATACTCCAAACGACCCAAATGAGATAAGGAATATTACAATTTTAACAATATTTTAAAGTCTTTTTCATTAAGATTAGATTCACCAATAAGCTTCCCTTTACACCCACAACAAAAATGTTTAGCATTCTCAAAACTGTAATACAACACTGATAGTCCCTTAACGTATTTCTTGCAAAATGAACATCTTAAAAAGGCCATATTATTACGGGCGCCTGGGTGGCTCAGATGGTTAAGCGTCTGCCTTCGGCTCAGGTCAAGATCCCAGGGTCCTGGGATCGAGTCCCACATCAGGCTCCCTGCTCCTTGGGAGCCTGCTTCTCTCTCTGCTTCTCTCTCTCTCTCTCCCTCTCATGAATAAATAAATAAAATCTTTAAAAAAAAAAAAAAAGGCCGTTATTAGTCTTAATCCTATCTATGTTCAGAATACAACATCCACTTTTTAAATGCATCCATCCTCTCTGCAAATTGTCAATAATCCCTTTAGCTCACAATAAACAGAGCAGAGCACACACTACACTCTAATATGCAAAATCATTAAGTCCATTAGATTCATTAATTCCACAAATATCTGTGCACCCATTATGAGTCTGGCACTATTCTAGGCACTGGGGAAAAAGGGACAATTTCTTGCCCTCATTAAGTTTACATATATTTAAGGATATATCAGTGAATAAAATAATAATCGCAGAAACATACATGCAGAAGAGCTACAAATAAAGCAGAGTAAGGGGAAGGAGAGGAAGAGGGGTGCTCTTTAGTGAAGCATCTCTAAGGAGGTGTCCTGTGAACCACGACTTGAAGGAAGAACTAGACATGAAAAGATGTGTGTGGGGAGAGTCCAGGCAGTGGGGCCACCACAGGTAAAGGACCTGAGTCAGGAGCAATCTTAGTCAACAGATCAGCTGGACTGTAATTTCTGTCTCCTACTTGGGGGCAAAAGCCTATGTTTTATTAATGCCTGCATCACCCCACCTTCTACCAAAAGTTATGTGCAAAAGGAGTTGTTAGGGGCACCTGGGTGGCTCAGTCAGTTAAGTGTCTGCCTTCTGCTCAGGTCATGATCCCAGGGTCCTGGGATGGAGCCCTGCATTGGGCTCCCGGCTCAGCGGGGAGTCTGCTTCTCCTTCTCCCTCAGCCTGCTGCTCCCTCTGCTTGTGCTCTCTGTCAAATTAATAAAATATTTAAAAAACAAACACACAAAAAACAAAAGTTGTTAAATTAACATATACAGACTCTTGGCTACTTGCCTAATGACTGAACAAAATCACTGCCTATCCGTCCCCTTTCGGTATGAGTGTACCGGTTCTTTCTGACAGATCCCTCAATTGTCAAGGCATCCCCAAACCAATGGGGCATGCCCGTTTTCACAGATCAGATTGGAGACTCGAAACAAAAGCCCTTCGTAATCCTGTATTTTCGGAATGAAAAAAAAAAAGTGGTCTGACAGCGCGATCAAATATTTGACAAACGAAATTCTCCAAACCCTACTTCCTGGCAGGCGCTAATAACCCAGGCAATAGGATGTCCTTCTAGCCCTCTCAGTGCAGGGCTGGCGGTAAGGACTCAGTGCGGATGAGTTTTGATTCAAAAGGGCAGCAGCACCTCCAACATCCACTCATTAAACACGGACCCGGCAGAGGGCTAGAGAGAAACACTCCTCGGCCCCAACCTGTTCGCTCCTACTCTGGGAAACGTGTACAAAACAAGCAGTCAGCTGAGTGCCTCCCTGGCGTGCAGTAGGCTCGCAGTAAGTAGTGATGGATGAAAACGAGGAAGAAAGCACGTGGGCTTTACCGGGCAGAAGACCCGCCCGGCGAAACACCGGAGCTCTAAGGTCCGGGATAGATGCCGGTTTTCTCCCCAGCGAGAAGAATTTAGGGAGCGTCGTGACGAAGAAAGGGAGGAGAGGGGCCTGGACTGGCGGGCGGCCAGCGGCGCCGGGAGCGGGGAGGCGGGCGGGCGCGGCGCCCCCTGGCTACAGGCCCCGGGATTGGGGGGGCGGGGCTGGCACCGCGGGAGCAAAGCCGCGGGGCTCCAGCCGCGCTCCCGCGGGCACTGTCCGTAATGGAGGCGCCGCGGGCGCGCCACGGGCTCAGGCCGCGGCCCGGACGCCTTCCCCGTCCGCACTGCCCCTCGAGGTGGGGCCCTGGGGCCGGGCCGCCGGCTGGCCGCTGAGCCGGGAGGTTGCGGCGAGGCCGCGCACTTACCCGGGGCCTGGGAGCGCGGGCGCGGCACGGGCCGGGCGGCGAGGGGGCGGGCAAGCTGCTCCGGGCGCAGGAGGGCGGCGGCGGCGAAGGCCACTCGGAAGAGCCAGCTGCGAGGGCGACCAGGCATAGGCAGCGCGGACACTGCCTTCAGTCCCCAGGGCCCGGAGCGCGCGGGTGGACTCGCCGGCGGCCGAGCTCTCACACGTGCCGCGCGGCGACGCGCCGCCGCTGATGCGCTCCACCCCCGGGGCGGAGCCCAGCCTCCGCCGACGGCTCCGCCCCCGCGCCAGCCCCGAGCGGCGAGGTCCCGCCCCCTCTCCACCGCCCAGTGTCCCAGCGGCCTCGCGAGGAGGAATCTCGCTGTAGCCTGCGGCATGGTGCGCTGCGGGCTGGGGAGACCTCTGCGGCCCGGGGAGACCTCTGCGGCCCATTCGCCTGGGCCTTGACCCGGGCAAACAGTGATTTCATCGTGCACCAGAGTCCTTTAGACAGTTTTTAGGACTTCCAAAGTGGCGATGGCCTTACGAATGTTTGATGTATTTTAATAAAGGTTTCTTCCACATAGTAAGGCCCTTTTGTGTTGCTCTCCACACTCAGCTAACTTAAAAGAATAACTTTAGGGACTATATTGTTCTATATATAATTCCTTCAAAGTGCAGAGAATCCAAGAGAACAATTTCCCCACTTCTTCGATTTACCCCTCCTGCTTGACGGCTCCTCAGTAGTATCTGCTTCAGGAAAACTGATCAGTAGCAAGTTTGTGCTTCTGTGTGAATCAAAATCAAACCCATTACTCCTTCCACGCTCTTCAAGTAGCACACGTTTTGCAACCAAATCCAGGCCTCTAATAGCTTTTGCACATTTAATATTTTGCCAAATTTCAATCCTTAGTGAAAAAGCTGTGTTATTTCAAAGTCCTATTTCTGTTAGATTTGTGGGGTTTTTTTTAATTGTAAAATACAACATAAAATCTACCATTTTAACCGAGGTAAAAGTTTACAGTTCAGTGTTCAGTTTAAGTGGACAGTTCAGCGGCATTAAGTACATTCACCCGGTTGTGTAACCATCACCTCCATCCATCTCCAGATCTCCTTTCATCTTGCAAAGCTGAAACTCTCTACCCAGTAAATAACAAACTCCCCGGTCTCCCGTCCTCCTACCCCCTGGCCAGCACCATTCCACTTTTTGTCTGGGTGAATTTTACAATGTAGGTAACTCATGTAAGTGTAATCATACCGTATATGTTCCTTTGTGATTGCCTTATTTCCTTACTGTTCATCCATGTTGTAACCTGTGTCAGAATTTCCTTCCTTTTTAAGGCTGAATAATACCCCATTACATATTTCTATAACCACATTTTGTCACTTCTCATCACTTGCATTGCTTCCACCTTCTGGTTATTGTGAATAATGCTGCTATGAACATGGGTGTTCCAATAGCTATTGGAGACCTTGCTTTCAATTTTTTTTTTTTTGTGGTACATACCCAGAAGTGGAACTGATGTATCATATGGTAATTATATTCTTAATTTTTTTGAGCAACGCCACATCGTTTTTTATAGCATCTGTAGACTTGTTTTTAAAATCTGGGCTTAGGGGCGTGTGGGTGGCTCAGTCCTTAAGCGTCTGCCTTTGGCTGCCTCTCCCACTCCCCCTGCTTATGTTCCCTCTCTCGCTGTCTCTCTTTGTCAAGTAAATAAAAAAATGTTTAAAAATAAATAAATAAAGATAAAGTCTGGGTTTATATTACCCATACTCAGCATGGATAATTCACTCAGACTGCTAGAATTCTATATGGCCTCTCTCTGAGATCAGTCACCTCAATTAAGTACAGTACCATGGACAGTTTTGTCTCTAATGCAAGTATAATCATATGTCCTTGGGCTATGGCTAATTCATAGGCTAATGTCCCAATGACAGCAACTGCAAATATTTTTACCACAGCCACAGTAAAGATTCAATCCTGAACTTGAAATTTTTGTATACTTTTTCTCTGAGATTGTGGCCCAACTCCTCATAAATGCATATGGAAGGAAAGAGCATTCCTTTGGCTGTTACCTAGGTCCGAGGTCAAAATTTACCCTTTTTGCATTTCAGCCTAAACTGCCTTAGACAAGGTCCAAGTGAAACATGCATTTTTACTTTTCTGTTTTCCAAAATGGCAGCTCTTTATTGGCTTTTATACTTAAAATAATACAGAATCATTCAAAGCCTGTCCCCAATTCTAACTCCCTCTTATAATCATTTAACAATTTAATGTTCTCCTTGACTTTCAAATTACATCCTAACATGTATATTACGTATACTATTCGGGATCCTGCTTTTAACCCCCGCCAGCACTATGCATTGCTAAGTGCCTAACACACACAATGTATCTCTTGTTTCATCCTTATTATTGCCTCGTATTCTGTCCATCTTAGACTGCCTCTCTCCACTCCCCAGACAGTAGTCAATTGTTTTCTGTGCTCCCTCAGTCATTGCAAACATTTCTGTTGTTGAGCCTACTGCTTTCAATCTTAAATATTTATTTTCATTTCTATTTCCCTTACCAGAAAGTGAATTCTTCAGAAGCAAAAATTTGGGTTTACAGCAATCTTTTTTTTTTCTTTAATGTTTTTATTTTTATCAGAGTTATGCATGTCTGTGATTTAGAATCAAATAATCCGGTAGAAATCTTGTAAGTTGCAATGAAAGAGCAAAGACTGCACCCACCACCCTCTCTTACCAATTTTCCGCTCCTCAAAGGCAGTCATTTAACTTTAAAAAAAAAAAGATTGATTGATTGATTGATTTTAGAGGGGGAGGGGCAGGGGGAGAAGGAGAGAGAGAATCCCAGGCAGGCTCCCTGCTGAGTGTGGAGCCTGAGGTGGGGCTCAATCCCACAACCCTGAGATCATGACCTGAGCCAAAATCAAGAGTCAGACACTTAATGGACTGGGCCACCCAGGTGTCCCCATTTCGCCTCTTTTAACTGGTTATTTACCTTCATTTCTCTATATAAAATGTTTACATAGTTATTTCTCAGTTTTTCACTTTTAAGCATTATCTATTGACTTCACTAAGTGGAAGATGAGTATTTAGCTCTTCTTCCTTTCCCCATCCCTTCCCCCACCCCCACCACACTTTTCATCTCTATCTGCTCAATCTAGTTATACTGTCCTTTTTAAATAGGTTTGTGTTTACTTCATTATGACTAGGTAAACATTACTTACATCTTTGGTGAAGTAGTATACTATGATTATTTCTCTTTTCTTGTTCAGCCTTTTGTTTTTCTTGCAGTTAATAATTATCTTATTTTGATTTAGTACTCATCACTAAGCCAAGTCCAAACTTTTTAATGATTGTTTCAATCTCTGCCTCCCAAGATTTAGATAGGTGAAGAGTTCTATCAGTTTCATCTGTCTTAAGGAGTCTCTCTCTCTCCTGGAGCCTTCTGGACCTGCCATGTCTGGTGACGACTGTTGTCTGAGACTCTCAATTCATTTTTCTCCTGCATTGTATTTTCTGTTTCCTATATCTTATGTCTTCTTTTTCCTTTGTTTAGTCCCTCATTTTAGTAGAGCACAACCTCCAGAAGCATCCTGAGAAAGGAGAAGTAAATGAAAGGGAAAGGACAAAGAAGTGAAAAATAAGAAAGAAAAAATAAGAAATTAGAGGACCACTCCAGGGAATCCAAAATCTGAAAAATAAGAGTTCCGAAAGAACAATACAACAACAGGGGTTAGGGAAGAAATGGTCGTCAACAAAAAGTTCAAGAAAACGTCTCCAAACTAAAAGCCATGAGTTTCCAGGTAAAAAGGGCCCACTGAGTGCCCAGAGAGGTGGAGGTTTTTCCGAGGTTGAGAAGGACCGCCCCCCCACCTCCTTTCTCCGGAGAGTCTCCGGCCAGCGCCCACTTTCTGAGCGGCCGGGCAGGCCTCCTGCCAGCAGGGGGAGCCACGGCGCACGGCTGGCGACTGTGCGGGCAGGGCCTCTCTGGGAAGAGAGGAAGAAACCAGAGAGACGGAGGGGAAGTAGCGGTGGCGCCCAGCCCCACAGTCCCCCAGGCTGAGCGGGTGTGTGGTCCCTGGCCGCCGCCGAACTCTGCAAGCCACGCTGGCTGCGTATGGAGCCGAGGACTCGCGCGGAGGTGGGATGCCCCCGGCCGGCGAGATCGGCGAGGCGCCGGCAGCCCCGGTGAGGCGGCCCTGGTGACCCGGGGAAGGGACACTGGTGACCCAGTGAGGTGGCACAGATCTCCCAAGGGAGAGTGTGTCTGTCAGGTGGCCCTGGCGGCCTGGGGACGGGGTTTCCGTGGCCCGGGGGAGACAGCCCTTGCAATCTGGTGAGGGGGCACGGACCTCCCAGGGCAGGTGGTCCCAAGGCGGTAATTCTGGCGAGCCTGGTGAGATGACACAGATAGAGCTCTCTAGGGACGTGGCCCTGGAAGCTGGGCGCGGTAACTCCCGCCGTCCTGGGGAGGTGGCAGTGGTGGTCCCAAGGGCCACCTGCATCAGATGGCCCTGACCCCTCAGGGAGGTCCCAGGGACCTCGTGGGGCTCCAGTGGATGCCCTCTGCGAATCTTGTATGAGTTCCCCCTATATCCTCAGTCTTACTGTGTCCGTTACACCTGTTCTTTTAGTGCTGCTCTGAACGTGCTGACGAAAGGAAGGACGTCGAGGAGAAAAGTAAGCGGACTCCAAACACGTTAGCATTCTCTACCCAGCCATCTCTCCAAAACTCAGCCCTCCACGGTCTGCAGCAAAGCGCCTTGGCCTCTTATCTTTTAGATGAATCTCTCTCTCTCTTTTTTGTACAATATGCTTGCATAGTATTAAGTACTGATTATCATTATATACGTATCTTTCTTTCTAAAATTGTAAAATATGGGATGATTTGGAGATAAGCACTTCCTGATCCCTACTTAGTGCAGGGACTGATGTGGATTTACTGGAGTGCTGTCCCTCATACTGGATTCAGAATAATTGGGGCCTGTCTGTTATTTTAATGAAGCTTCAACTTATCATGCATCAGGAATTTAGAGGGGCTAATGATCTAGGAGAGATGATCACCACTTTAATTAGAGTCAAAATGGTAATTGCTTAGTTGTACTTTACCTTCAGTGAATTTACCACTAAAAGTTGATCTGGGAAGAAGAGTACAAGCAATAACTTATTTCCTGGATCTTGGTCTGGACAAAGAAGAGGGAAAAGGTCAATACCTCCATTTCCTACCTAGGACAGGAGCAGGAATGTCAGGAATGTGGACATTTGTCATTTTACTTTAATGAGCTAAGCATGGCAGTCTTTTGGAAATCAAGGAGTCTTCAGGGACGTTTAAAGTGAAATTTATTATCTGGGCGCCTGGGTGGCTCAGTTGGTTGGGCGACTGCCTTCGGCTCAGGTCATGGTCCTGGAGTCCCGGGATCGAGTCCCACATCGCGCTCCCTGCTCAGCGGGGAGTCTGCTTCTCCCTCTGACCCTCTTCCCTCTCGTGCTCTCTGTCTCTCATTCTCTCTCAAATAAATAAATAAAAATAAATAAATAAATAAAATAAAGTGAAATTTATTAGGGGAGGAAGGGGAAAGGCATGTAACAGCTATTTCATCAGAGGGTTTTTGGTTCTTCTGACCATGGCAGGTAGTCTAGGAATGAATAGTGGTAGGAGGAAGGGTGTCCACATTACTACAGTGGCTTTAGGAGTTAGGCTTGCCCTTAACATTGCCTGCTGATACAGTCTGCCTCAGAAGGAAAGTTCTAAGTAATCCATAGCACTTGACAGGCATAGCTCTCACAACTCAGCTCCTTTGTTAAAGGATGGGAGAGTACCCCATATCTTTGCATTAAACCCTTCCCTTTTCCACCTTTGCCCATTCAGATGCCTGGAAGTTGATGCCTGCTGAGCTGCCATTTAGTAGAATGAGAGGCACAGATTATAGACTTTGTCCTTGTCCCTCCTTTGGTGGCTTGGTCAACTTCTGTGCAATTAGGAGTGCTCATAACAAAAAACAGAGAAGAAGAAAGTCATAAAAACCTCGCAAATCATTGGTGTGTCATCTTATTGAATATCATTTGGGGTACCTGGGTGGCTCAGTTGGTTAAGCCTCTGCCTTCAGCTCCCTACTGAGGGGGGAGTCTGCTTCTCCCTCTTCCTCTGCCCCTCCCCCCTGTGCTCTCTCGCTGTCAAATAACTGAATAAATGAATCTTTAAAAAAATATATTATTTGACTAAGAATGTACTGTGCTGTATTTAAATGGTGATGTCAAAAGAATATAATTTAAAGTGGCGCCTGGATGGTTCAGTCAGTTAAGCATCTGCCTTCGGATTCAGTCATGATCCAGGGATCCTGGGATCGAGCCCCTCTTTGGGCTCTCTGCTCAGCAGGGGTCTGCTTCTCCTTCTGTCCCTCCCCCTGCTCATGGTGGAGTTCGTTCACTCTCTCTCTTTCTCTCTGAAATAAATAAAATCTTTTAAAAAAAGAAAATCTAATTAAAAAAAGAATATGATTTAAAAGTAGGTGAAAAAAATTTTTTAATTGAAAAAAAAAATAAAAGTAGGTGAAGATAGAATTTGCTCCCAAAGCTACAGCAACCTTAGCATTCACCAGACAGTCCCTCTGCACATAGCCCTGCCTATAGGTGTCTGCAGATGCATCACACAATGCATTTGTTTTTTTTTTAATGTATTTGTTTTATTTAAGATAAAAAAAGAGGACACTGTGACTAATGTACATAACGGTAGATGGATTTCTGTATTAATAAAATTTGATGCAGACCAGCCAATTCTGCTCATATTTGAAGGAGGAAAATAAATAAGAAAATTGGGTTGAAAGTCAGGAAACATGAACTTTAATCCCATTTATAACCTTTAAGTATAAGCTGGGCAAATGTTTAATTTATAGTTGGGAAGTTGAGGCATAGATTTATGCTAGTTTTGCTTCTACTTACTAGTGGGCTGCTGGTTCTCATAGCATACAAACAAGCTTTTAATTCTTATAAGTTGAGTAGAACAAAGGAAAATTTGGTTTTTGGGGAGCTGGAGAACATTCCCAGTCCTAAACACATTGGTATATATTCTGTTAATCTTTTTTTTTTAAGATTTTATTTATTTATTTGAGAGAGAGAGTGAGAGAGGGAGACAGAGCACGAGACGGGGGAGGGTCAGAGGGAGAAGCAGACTCCTCACTGAGCAGGTAGCCTGATGTAAGACTCGATCCCAGGACCCTGAGTTCATGTCCTGAGCTGAAGGCAGACGCTTAACCGACTGAGCCACCCAGGTGCCCCAACAGTTGTTTTGTAATGAGGCTGATTATAACCTCTTGCCTTTCTCTCATTGCTGCTTTCTTAAAACTTCATTTTTGGTAAAGAGCCAAGTTCTACAAGGGCAGCTCCAGGAAGAACAGAGGCGAAGTTCAACCAGTATTGCTCCCCAGGAGGTTCTGTATTGTTCCCCCAGCTTTATCTCTCGTGCACATACACTTTTCTTTTTTTTTTAGACATTGCTGTAGTCTCTGTAATTAAACATATGCTAGTACAATCAAGCTTTTTTTTTTTTAAAGATATCATTTACCTATTTGACACACAGAGACAGCAAGAGAGGGAACACAAGCAGGGGGAGTGGGAGAGAGAGAAGCAGTCTTCCCACTAAGCAGGGAGCCCGATGTGGGGCTCGATCCCAGGACGCTGGGATCATGACCTGAGCGGAAGGCAATCACTTAAGGACTGAGCCACCCAGGCGTCCCTACAATCAAACTTTTAATTTGTTTATAACTTACTGTGAATGGTTTGTTTGAGAGGACCAAATCCTTTAGTTAAACCTGAAGTAGAGAAATACACTGTATATTCAGGTTTATTCTAAGGTTTGGTTTCTAGGAAGTCTGCTTTTTCTCTGGGGCCTTATTTTATAGCACTTATTTTCATCTGGAGATCTTACAGTTTTACATTTTTTTAAAGATTTTATTTATTTATTTGAGGGAGAGAGAGCACAAGCTGGGGGGGGGCTGCAGAGGGGGTGAGAGAGACACAAGCAGACTCCGCACTGAGCATGGAGCCCGATGTGGGGCTTGTTCTCACAACCCCAAGATCACGACCAGAGCTGAATCTAAGAGTCAGACACTTAACTGCCTGTGCCACCCAGGCTCCACCCCAAAACCTTTTTAAAAATCTGTTAGTACTACTCAAACCTAGGGAAATTAAGCCCTGTCTGTGGGATAATTCGAATACCAAGTTTCCTAACCTTCTCCAGGAAGAAGCATATCACAAGTAAGCAAAAGAAACAGACACTTCAGAGGAAACGGTGTATATAACACGCAGGGCTGGAGTGGAAAGAGCTGTGGCAGCATCTGCCTATCACGGCACTCCTGCCTTCTTTGCCAACACGCCTCCGTGGCTTCAGGTTTCCCTGCGGTGTAGGCATGTCCAGCCTGGCACAGACGGTCAGGGAAGGTAGAGATGGAGGAACTCTACAAAAGAGGAGCAGTGCTGTTGGTCCACAAATTGAGGACAGCGGAAGAGAATTTGATTTCCTGTGAAGTGGATTAAGTGTTTACTAGAAATTTGTTTCTTTGAATAAAAATTGAAAATCTATTATTTATGTATTTGAATCTTGCCTCATTCCATAAGGAATTAGAGGCAGCTTAAATTGCTTAATTCTTAAGCATCATGGATAGTGGAAGAAGGTATGGATGCTTGCAGAGTGAAAAACTGACTCGGAAATGATAGGAAATGATCAGCGTTCAAATGTAGAATAAAGAATGGGCTCCTTGGGAAATCCCACCCACTGAAAGGGGTGAGAGCAAAACTACACAGTGTTCCTGTTTTCACTGGGCATGGTTTGCTCCATCACAGGCCATGCTGCCTCTGCTACCCCTCTTCCCTAGAAATGACTCTGGGTTCCAAGTCACCTGCTTTTGTTTGTTTAGTAAGTACAGTGTGCGTCGGTCCAAGTCTAGTTTATTGGCCATGGAAGGAGTCTTACTTCAGACTGTACAACTTAATGGTTGCACCAGTCATTTTGAATTTTTCTTAGTAATTTGTATTTTCTTTCACACTTCCTTTTATTCTTTTTCTGACATGGGCGTCTTTGTACAATGGCATTTGAAGCTTTTAAAACATTTTTACTCTCTTTCAAAGAAGATTTATTCATTGTTTATTAGAGAGAGAGTGTGCACATGCATGAGCAGGGGGAGGGGCAAAGGGAGAGGGAGAGAGAGAATCTCAAGCAGTCTCCTCACTGAGCATGGAGCCCGATGTGGGGCTCGATCTCATGACCCTGAGATCATGACCTGAGCCGAAACCAAGAGTCAGACACTCAACCAACTGAGCCATCCAGATGCCCCTAAAACTTTTTTACTCTTACATAAAAAGGAGGAGTTTTTATTCATTGGTCAGCCTTTCAGTTTTTTTTCATATACTTGAAATCTTTCAATATTTTTCCTTTTTTTTAACATTTTAAAACCAGGGTCCTCCTTTGGTGTTATTCTAGACCACATTATTTGTTTCCTTACAAATTTTAAAAATATATTACTACTTTAATAAAAACCACATTAATAAAATAAGATTTGACCTTTTTTCCCCTCTACTAATAAAATAGATTTGTAAGATAAAAGTCTTCTGGAAAAGTTTAATATCTGCTTGTAACTGCATTGTCATGCCAACATCTGTTGAAACCCGTGGTTACTAGGACAGACTTCAGGAATTTTCCTTCACTCTGAATTTCCTCAGCTCCTAAGCGTTTTGTAGTACTTGATTGATAGCTTGCTTTATAGCTATTCATTTGGGTGTTTGTGTGTGTGTGTGTGTGTACAAAAAAATTCCAAAAAATCCACATATGTGCATATAGATCTATACATACTGTATATTCATTTTGGTATTTTTGTGTGTGTTTATATGGTATATATATACATGAACATATATATGCATACCATATATAGTGTTTTCTTTAAATTACTAACTTTTGAAGGTAGATATATTGCTTTGTATTATCTTTTGTATTTCCTTTAGTCCCGTGGTACTTAGTAAGTTGAATAATTGTTATTCTTTTGTTTTAGGTGACATAAATATTACAGCTCTTGTTGGAAATGAACAAGTCAATGAAGATGCAGATAATGGTGATCTCCCTTCTTACGTGTCTGCATTTATAGAAAAGGAAGTTGGAAATGACCTTAAATCTTTAAAGAAACTTGATACACTCATAGAACAGATGACAGAAAATAAAATGCAATTAGAAGAACAGGTAGGTATTAAAACTCATTGAAGTAATATCAGAAGTATACACATACTATAATATAAACATAACCATTATTGTACAGGGAATTTTGAAGATACAGCTTGTGACAAATAGTCTAATCATTTAAAACTGTTTAATAGGTTTTAAGACTTACAGTGTGCTAGATATTTTATGAATTATGTAAAAGAGAAAGATCTTAAGGCTGCCTGGCTGGTTCAGTTGGTAGAGTGTGCGAATCTTGATCTCGGGGTTGTGAGTTTGAGCCCCGTGTTGGGTGGAGAGATGACCTAAAAATAAAATCTAAAAAAAAAAGAGTTCCTGCTGATATTATTTAGGTCTTAAAAATATGACAGCTAACACTTTAAGTAGATTTTCATACAGTGACTTTTAAAGTGCTTCTATAACTAAGTCATTTCATTGTATACAAAAATGTTATAACACCATCATTCCAAACTTTGTATGTACTCACTCATAAGGAGAAAACATGAAAATGAATATAACATAATAGTGGTTATTTCTGAGTGGTGGGTTAACAGTTGATTTATTTTCTTCACATCTTTCTGTATTTTCAAGTGTTTTCTTTTTACAGCGAACATATTACTTAAAATAGTTTTTAAAACACCCAATGAATGTAATCTTAAAAAAATAAGTGGATCCCTGTACTTGCAATAGAGTGTTTGTCAAGGATAACAGGTTTACATCCTGTAACTACTACGCTGTGGTAGAGCCACACACTGTGTGTGGCTATGTTGGTGTTAGCCTCGGGTTGTCAGTCGTCCTGTGTTCCCACCCCCAGCACCTCAGGCCTCCCGTCCTCCTGTCTTTCCTTCCCTCATGTCTTCCACGAGTCTCTTTAAGTATGGCCCTGCCCCGTCCACCTCTTCCACTCTGCAGGCAAGCTGTCTCTGCTGGGCTCTCTCGGAGAAATCACACAGCGGGGAGCACAGATGCCAGCCCAGATGAGTGGTCTTCAGCCCCACCTGGCAGTCCGTCCATGGCTCTTTCCCTGGGAAGGTCGGCTCCTCTGCCACTCCCCTTGCTGTTCTTCTGAATTCTGCCCCAAGATAACTATCCCATCTGGCCGTTCTGTCTTTTCCTTTTCCCAAAAAGAAAAAGTAAGAGCACTTAGCATGAATCCATTGAACAGTCTACCCCACATCCTACAAACCTATTTGCCATTTCTACTTCTTAATTCAGCAAAGGATCACTGCGAGACAGTCCTCATGGCTCAGATCCTACCTGCCACCTGAGTGAGCTTGCTTCACACTTCTGTAGTTTGCTCCTCTGCCCCTCAGCCAGTCCTCTCCCCTCAGCATAGGGACACACACACATGTTTTCCTTAAACCCAAACAAAAAACCCTCCCCTCATCTTTTACTAGGTGTTAATTCCTTCCTTTTACTGTTAGGCTTCCTCAGAAAGTCATCTTTCTTTATGTCTATCTCCACTTCCCCGTCAGGCTCGTTTCCCTGATGACCATGGAAGCTTCTGCCGAAGTCCCTAACTGAAGCTTAAATTCAGCATGTCTGTCTCTTCAAATGCTCGGGCCTGAAACCTAGGAGCCCTCCTAGATTGCCCTTCATCCTGCCTCCACTACCCCATCACCAAGACATCAGAGTTTTGCCCCCCTTCACCTCTCTGGTGTCTGGGTCTGCCCCCTCGTTCCCACCCCTGCGGCCACCACCCCAGTTTAGGGCTAAGCCTCTCCTGCACTCGATGGCAGTTTGCCCATCTTCCGCTTCCTTCCCTCCCCACAGTAACTATCATTTGTATTCTTTACAGAAACTGTATTATGTGTAAATAAGCAAATATATATAAAATGTAGTTAAAATCTTTTATGTGTATATAAGCATATGTATACTTTAAATATGCATAGCTTAACTTTTTATAATTAATATACTACTTTTTTCATGTCAGTGTATATAGATCTCTCTTTTTTAATGGTTTTTGGTATTCAACTATGGCTGTATGTAATTTGACCAGGCCCTTATTGGTTGACATTCTTGCTGTTTCCAGTTTTTATTATTGCAAATAATAGGAGAATAAACATAATATTTTGTCACTTTATGTTCTAAATCATAAATCTAAAGGAATGATTCCCTTGTTAAAATCTCTTGGGGCGCCTGGGTGGCTCAGTTGGTTAGGCATTCGACTCTTGATCTCAGCTCACGTCTTGATCTCAGGGTCATGAGTTCAAGCCTCACGTTGGGCTCCATGCTGGGCATGGAGCCTACTTGAAAAAAAAGAAAAAAAGAAGCTCTTACTGGCTTCCCATTGCCTGTTGGGAAAAGCCCACATTCTTCTAAGGCACAAGATGCTCCTGTGATCTCGTCTCTCCCTACCATCTGGACTCATCTCTTCTTTCTCTGTTTTTTTGAACTGTATTCTGTGCTTTACCCGACTCTTTGCTGTTCTCTGATCATGACTGAGCCGTTCCTTTTGCCTGGAATGCGCTTCTCCTTCCAGAGTTCCCAAGAAAATTCACGCCTGTCCTGCGAAGGTCTATGCAGGAGCGGTGCAACACAATTGCCTCGCACCTCAAAACCTCGATATCCAAAGTGTGGGAGCTTGTTAGACACGCGGAATCTCAGTCCCTGCTTCAGACCTGATGAGTTCACATTGGCATTGTACCAGATCTCTAGGTGATTGCTATGTACGTTCAGGTTTGGGAAGCACTACCTTAGTCACCATTACACCTAGCATCTCTCTTTTATTGCGGTAACCCCATAATACAGGAGGTATTTGCTTCCATTTCTCTTCCACACCAACTGAGCTTTAGGGCAGATGCTATGTCTTCTTTGTCTGTCTATTCCTAGCACAGGGCCTTGTGCAAAGTGTTTGATTAAACCGAAATTCCCCTATAACAGTCTTTATATTGTATTGATACCTAATGTTTGTATATGTTTTTCCATATGCTATAAGAAGAATTAATAAATACCATATCTCAAGGCATTACCTGGTTATCATCTTAACAGGTCAGTGGTTCTCAACCTGGACTTAAATCAGAATCACCTGGGTAACTTTTGCGACATACAGATACTCAGACTTTTAGAATCAGAGCTTCATTTGTTTTTGGGGGAAAGTATTTAGTAGATAAAGCGTAAAAATATTCTCGGGCTGGACCCTCTAAAAGCACTGAGCTTCATGTGAAGGCAGATCCAGAGGTGCTTACTGGGGCAATAGTCTGCTCCCCACCCATCTCCGCATATAGCATTTCGTGTTTAGGTTTGGTGGGTACGGGATGCAGAAATCCCACCTTTCTTTTGAAGCTTATAATTGACAATTTTCAATTCTGTTAGAACAAACATGTATTTTGAAGGTAATAGTTTAAAAAAAAGGGTTATGAAAATTGTATCTGATTGCTGCTGTTCTTTTTTTTTTTTGGTATGGTCAGGTACTTACAATTTCATCAGAAATCCCTAAAAGAATTCAGAGTGCTTTAAAAAATGCAGAAGAATCAAAGCAATTCCTTAATCAGTTTATGGAGCAAGAAACTCATCTCTTCAGTTCCATTAACAGCCATTTGCTGACCGCACAGCCCTGGATGGAAGATCTTGGGGCCATGATCAACCAAATTGAAGAGATTGAGCGCCATCTTGCTTACCTTAAATGGATTTCACAAATTGAAGAACTAAGGTAAAAAGGGCCTCTTTGTTCTCATAATTATTATTTTCCTTTGAGGCCCTGTCTTACCGAGTGTATGCATGCCATTAAATAATTGAGTTAATTAAAGATTATAATAATGTAATTTTACCAGTTGTTATGAAAATAGCATTATGATAATGATTCTTTTCCTTTATTGTGAATGAACATAAACTTTTCAGGGAGCTTAATTTGCATTTGAAAGAAAATAATCTAAGTAAAAATTTTAAGTCCTATAGTTGTGACTACATGATAACTTTTATAAAACCAAATTAATAAAACAACTCTTCAGTGTGGTAATATTCTCTACTTTTACCTTTCAGACATGGTCACTTGATGAAATGGATTGCTTTCTCTAAAATTTGAATCATTTTTTTTAAAGATGTTTATTTGAGAGAGAACACGAGAGAAAGAGAGAGGGAGCACACAAGCAGGGAGAGAGGGAGAAGCAGACTCCCCACTGAGCAGGGAGCCCAATGTGGGGCTCCATCTCAGGATACCCCCTCCCCCCCCTCCCCCGCGGCCTTGGGATCATGACCTGAGCTGAAGACAGATGCTTAACTGACTGAGCCACCCTGGTACCCCCAATGGAAATCATCTAACAAAAGCTACACAGTATTCTTAGATGAGTAACAGAGTTTTGCTACCTGTGGGTAGGGGGAAAAGAAGTACATACTTCGTTCTGAATTGAATGTGTATTACTGGTGTTGACTGTGTCTGATATTGCCTTTCAGACAAGCTAAATTAACATTTCTGCCTACATTGGCAGATTATTTGGTTTCATGATATAGTCCCCCAGCCCCTCCAAACTGCATAGTGCCATCCTGCTTTGTTTTAACTACTCTTGCTTCAAAGCTGTCAGCAGCCATTCGTGTTGTCTGGAAGACTTGAGGAAGAAAGGTCATACAAGAGTCTTAATGTCCCATTGTAAATGTATCACAGTTAATATACTTTGTTATGTCTTCCAAAGAGTAATGTGGTATCATTTTATCCTGCATGTTTCTCAATATTTTAAAGAATTTTACCTATCAGTACAGTGTGAAAATCTTTGTTTTGCATCTGAGTTTTACATTTACAGAAAGAGTGATAGTGTTACCCAAGATTGTAGTGTTACCAGTGATTCCAGAAATCGGTTTAAGCTTTTTAGACCATCTTCTTCTTGTTTAGATAAATTATTTGCAGAGAATGAATTTTAAACCTTGCTTCTTTTTATTTCAGTGTCCCTTGCTCCTCTGAAAGATAATACCAATAAGGAGCCATAACCTTATTAAGTAGAATAAATTGTTTAAAAGCCTCACTCTTGTAGTAGCCAAGGTAATAGATTAATTAAAATAGGATTGTGGTTATGGATAGCTTTTATCTGATGTTGGAATTGTTTAAAAGAAATTTGGCCTGGAAATCATGTTAGAAATAGGAATCAGATTCATAATCAAGTGGAGCACAGCTATTTCTCTTTACTGACATGCTCTTTTCTCTAGGTCTTCCATTCATGAATGTCTCTTTCTGGCTTCCTTTGGGCTTCTGAGATTTTCCTCATCGCCTAAATTCTCTCTAATATTAAACTGCTTTTCATTCTGTGGCGCTCTCTTTTTTAAAAGAGCAGTGTTCTGGGGCAGCTGGGTGGCTCAGTCAGTTGAACATCTGATGCTTGATTTCTGTTCAGGGTCCTGAGATCAAGCCCCTTGTCCAGCTCTGTGCTCAGCGGGGAGTCTGCTTGAGATTCTCTCTCTGTCTGCCCCTCCCAATTGCTCTCTTGCACTCTCTCTCAAATAAATAAATCTTTAAAAATTTTTTTTAATTAAAAAGTTTTTTTGTCCTTATTTTTAGATGGTTTAAGCAATGGAATATGTTATTTTTAAAAAAATTTGAAAGAGAGTGTGAGCCAGGGATGGGCAGAGGGAGAGAATCTTAAGCAGGCTCCACATCCCTGCACAGAGCCTGACGGGGTCCATCTCATGACTTTGAGATCATGACGTGAGCCTAAATCAAGAGTTGGATGCTTAACTGACTGAGCCACCCAGGTGCCCCTAGAATATATGGGGGTTTTTTTAAAGATTTTATTTATTTATTTGACAGAGAGAGACACAGCGAGAGAGGGAACACAAGCAGGGGGAGTGGGAGAGGGAGAAGCAGGCTTCCCGCTGAGCAGGGAGCCAGATGCGGGGCTCGATCCCAGGACCCTGGGATCATGACCTGAGCTGAAGGCAGATACTTAACAACTGAGCCACCCAGGAGCCCTAGAATATGTATTTTTTATCAAAAGAAACATCTCAATTTTTTTATTTTCATTTTTTATTGAAGTATAGTTGACACACAACATCTAATTTTTAAGTAAAGTGTTTGCTTTATAAAGTCAAATAAGCAAAATGGTAGGTAGCTCATGGGATCTATTTGGCTGGTTTCATAGAATTTGATTAATTGGTTTTACATGGAAATCTTGATTTCTCGCTTTCCTAGAAAAATTATAAGCTTTGGCCACATTGGTAAAAAAACCACTTCTAGCTAGTGCTGCCTTTTTCCTGGTATGTAACTTTATATACAACAGGAGGGAGAAGCAGTTTTTCAGCATTTGGAATTATTTTGAACAGACTGTCTTTGAAGTTTGCTTGGCCTCATTTTGCAGCGATAACATTCAGCAATATCTGATGACCAATAATGTCCCAGAGGCAGCCTCTACTCTGGTGTACATGGCAGAACTTGACATCAAGCTTCAGGAGTCATCTTGTACTCATCTTCTTGCTTTCATGAGAGCCACTGTTAAATTCTGGCATAAGATTCTCAAGGACAAACTTACAAGGTAAGGAATTCACCCATATTTCATGGTAATTGCTTTCAGATGGACATTTAGTGATTGTTGTATTTTAACTGAAACACGTGTGTTACTTTTCTGTTACAGTGATTTTGAGGAAATTTTGGCCCAACTTCATTGGCCCTTCATCACACCCCCCCAGTCTCAAACTGTTGGCTTGAGTCGACCAGCCACTGCCCCTGAGATATACACTAACCTGGAGACACTGTTTTGTCAGCTTCTGAAACTACAAACCTCGTATCCTTGTTGGAGTTAAAACTTACTAAAATTGCTTTTCTAGAGTGGATTCATGGATTACTCTCTAGTAAAACTTTTTGAAAGTGGCCAAGAAGCCAAACAGGAGTACTGGGTTTGGTCTTGATCTGTATATACCCATGGAGTGGTGGATTGTTCTCCTTCGGAGTGAATTGCATGTGGGGCTGGGGAGGGTCAGTCTGAAATACGTGTGACCCAAGTTTACATCACACATAAGTTATATCGCACGTAGGTCTCTTGGGATTAAAAATGGCAATTGGGAGGAGACCTTAGTAACTTCGTGTTACTTTAATATGATAAAGTGATTACTTGAATGTGTTTCCTTCCTTCCTACTATTTTTTATTTTAGGAAAGACAGATTAATTCTAATAACATTTTTGGTGCACTTTTTATTGAAATCATATGTAACATAAAATTATCTGTATTACAGTTAATTTTAGTGTCATATATTTGTTGGAAAAATATATCACGTATATATATGTATATACACACACATATATATGTACTTTTCTTTTTCCTTGACTCGACTATGTCAGAGATGAATTACTTACTGAGCCAAAACAACTTCCAGAAAAATACTGTCTTCCTGCCTCCCCGTCTGTCATTCTGCCCCTCCAGATCATGCTGACGCCCCTTCAGAAGAGGTTCAGGTATCACTTCAGAGGGAACCGCCAGACTAATGTCATAAGCAAGGTGTGCTTTCTCAACTCTTGTCCTTGGTTTTTATTAATAGCAAATGTGAAGTGTTCTATACTTTTTCTGGTTTAAGTTAAAATCTGATTCCATTCACATTTCTGTTTTTTCTCTAAAGAGCTAAATTCCTTTTTTGTCACTGCTCTTAATAGATCTTTTTCCAGACTTGTGTTGAGAGGTTGTTGGAATCCGCTTGCTTATTAGCATGTCATGCCCATACGGCCATAAATCATTTTAGCATCAACAGTCCATTCAAAAGCTAATACTCAACTATCTTGACTTCCACTTCTCTTTCTGATATATTTGTAAACCCGAAGGAGCAATTTGCACAGTGAAACATGGGGGCCCAGGTGTAAACAGTGCCCCACAGATGCCACAGCACTTTTTTTCTGGTTCTTAAATTTAGCTTATCCTTTGTATTTATGGGACTGCCCCTTTTTTGCATGGGGTGTTGGTGGAAAGAAGAGTAGAACGAATTAGTAAGTAGTAAGTGAGACAAAGCAATAAACCTGAAGCTGTAGAGAAGCAGTGAGAAAGGTAAGAAAATTGTGAGTTATGTTGACTCCTTTCTAAAGTGTGGTTCTGCTCTGTCATCAAGCCTAAACTACACAGTCCCTGAGATTACAGATGCCCATTATTCATGTTTGTATTTACAGCATCTAGCACACAACAGGGATTTTACCGCTCAGTAAATGTTTTTGAATACCTGCCCAAGAAAACACGGAAGGTTTGTAGAATTGGCTCTAGGGACAATTTTAAAAGCTGCTACTTACATTTACTTTTCTATGATTATACCTGGTTTAAGGCATGTGTTGTTTTGTTTGCTTTCTTAATTTACCTTTTCAAAAGAGAGAGCAGAAGAAAATCAAGTTTAAAAGTTATTTTGGAATGTTATGGCCAAAAAACCCAATTTAAAGGCCATCAGCTCTTTGTAATGCTCATCATTTTACATATTTCCAAAGAGCTATATTTTTTTATTTTATTTTTTAAAGATTATTTATTTAAGAGAGAGAGAGGCAGACTCCCTGCTGAACAGGGAGCCCAATGTAGGACTCGATCCCAGGACCCTGGGATCATAACCTGAGCTGAAGGTAGACACTTAACTGACTGAGCCACCCAGGCTTCCCCAAAGTGCTGCATTTTCAATATATATAGTATTGTAAATTTATGAGTTTATTGACTTATGCCACGTTTGGGAATTTGTTGGGAGGACATTGGGAAACATTTGATTATTAAGCCTTGCATGACCTTAAAGTTCAGAGTAGAAATTGCATTCTTACATACAGGAATTTTCAACTAATTTTTTTCTAAGTGCTGCACGTATACAATTAAATGGAGCCCTTTATTTGTAACTTTCTAGGTGGAATGACTTAAGAATTCAAACTGTTTTACTTCTTTCCTTAGCCTGAGTGGTACCTGGCTCAAGTACTTATGTGGATCGGGAATCACACTCAGTTTCTGGATGAGAAGATTCAGCCAATATTAGACAAAGTGGGCACTTCAGTAAATGCTAGGGTAAGAGACTCGGTCCTAAGCATTCCAATTTTAGAGTTGGATGTGTCCACAAATAACCTGTCATCTACATTACCTTATGCTTACGAATTTATTTCAGCTCGAATTTTCCCGGGGCCTTATGATGCTCGTTCTTGAGAAGTTAGCTGCTGATATTCCATGTCTGCTCTATGATGACAATCTCTTCTGTCATTTGGTGGATGAAGTGCTTTTGTTCGAAAGGGAGCTACACAGTGTTTATGGCTATCCTGGCACTTTTGCCAATTGTATGCATATTCTATCAGAGGAGACCTGTTTTCAGAGGTGGTTGACTGTGGAGAGAAAGTGTAAGTGTTCATGTGGCCATCGGGTGGGGAGAATTGTCTCCTTTTGTGGGTGTTAATTATTGGTGTTTTTCTCCACCAGCTCTGGTAGAAACTAGAGTCATCTGAATTTTTCTTGGTCAGAGTTTACCAAGGTGCCTTATTTGCTTCCCATCAAACTTCAATTTTTCTTGAATTTACACTTGCACGGTACATGTTTCCAGAGTGCACCAGTCAAGCCAGTGGAGTATAGTATTAGCTGTCCTACAGATGGTACTACACTGTTTCGGTTCTTGGTAGAAGCTGTTGGATGTAGTTTGTCTAATCACTTTAAATATTTTGAAGATTTGAGGTAGGGGTGGCGGGGAGAAGTCAAGTATCTTGTCCAACCCTAAACCAGAGCATGTTAAATATAGTGCAACCAGTATGAGGTTGTGGGTTTATTTTTTACAGGGAAGTCATTCCAAAAAAACTGCTGAAAATTAAGAATGAGTGTAACTACTAAATTGACATATTCCCTTTTTCTGCGTATCAGTTGCTCTTCAAAAAATGGACTCAATGCTTTCATCAGAAGCTGCCTGGATATCCCAATATAAGGATATCACCGATGTGGATGAGATGAAAGTTCCAGACTGTGCAGAGACTTTTATGACGCTACTACTGGTGATAACTGGTAAGTAGAAGTCTTTTAAGATATAACTTTGTTTTGGGGCACCTGGCTGGCTCAGTCGTTAAGCGTCTACCTTTGGCTCAGGTCATGATCCCAGGGTCCTGGGATCGAGCCCCACATTGGGCTCCCCCTGCTGAGCGGGGAGCCTGCTTCTCCCTCTCCCTTTGCCTGCTGCTCCCCCTGCTTGTGCTCTCTCTGTCAAATAAATAAAATCTTAAAAAAAAAAGGGGTGCCACCTAAGCACCCCTTCCTCCTGTTAAAAAATGTCATGTTTTTGTTGAAGAAATGGGATGATTTTTGTATATACAGATCTTTGACTTATGTGGGGCTATAGCCTGATAAACCTATCCTAAGTTGAAAATATTTTAAGTCAAAAATGCATTTAATACACCTAACCTACTGAATATCACGGCTTACCTAGCCTACCTTGCCACATGCTCACAACACTTACATTAGCCATTAGTTGGGCAAAATCATCTAACATGAAGCCTACTTTATAATAAAGTAGAGACTATCTCATAATTTATTGAATACTGCACTGACAGCGAAACCCAGAATGGTTGTGCGGGTACAGCCATTCTGTAATGGCAGTAAGCTCACCGGTTGTTTGCCCTCACTGTCCCATGGCTGACAGAGCTGTGGCTTGCTCCCACTGCCCAGGGTCACAAGAGGGTTGGACCCCAGATTGCTAGCCTGTGAAAATATCCAAATAACAATTTTGAAGTAGTTTCTATGAATGTGTATGGCTTTTGCACCATTGTAAACTTGCAAAATCTTAAGCTGAACCATCATAAATCAGGCACCATCTACAAGTTCCTCATGCCTTAAAAAATTTGAGATGTAATTTATACGCAGTGAAAAACACAAATCTGAAGTATACATTTCAGTGAGTTTTGACAATACATGTACTTGTGAAACCCACACCCCTGTAAAGTGTAGAAGTAGGTCCATACCTGAACGGTTGATAGATTTTTTGACAAAGGCACCAAACAAGGTCAGTAGGGAAAACCTATAACTGTGTCATGAATGGAACCCAAAACTTCATATGTCTTACTAACTTTCTCTACAGACAGATATAAAAATCTTCCCACGGCTTCCAGAAAGCTACAGTTCCTGGAGTTACAAAAGGACTTAGTAGATGATTTTAGGATACGATTAACTCAGGTGATGAAAGAAGAGACTAGAGCTTCCCTTGGCTTTCGGTACTGTGCGATTCTCAATGCCGTGAACTATATCTCAACAGTACTAGCAGATTGGGCTGACAATGTTGTAAGTTAATGTACTTTTATTCATTTATTTTATCATTTTTTAAAGTTTATTATTATTATTATTTTATTAATCTCTACACCTAAGGTGGGGCTTGAACTCATGACCCTGAGATCAAGAGTTATGTTCTTCTGGCTGAGCCAGCCAGGCGCTCCGTTAATGTGCTTTTATATTAAATAATAGATTAGTAGTTTTAACAGTTTTACCTTTGAAATGTTGAATTTATAGCAGGGCAGAAAGTACACATTAGGTAGAATATCAATTAGGCCAAATAATGTATGATTAAATAACATATTTTTCTCAATTAAGTCTCAAATGGTTAAATAATACCAATATTTTAGTCATTAGAAAAGAAAGCCAACTTTTCAGGAAATAGTTGTCTATAGAATGAACCTTTTTCTTCTATGGACTTGGGAAATATTCATGTATGGTAACTGCCATCTCAGAAAAAGCTAAGGTTGAATAATGGTGTCAAAATCAATAAAATCCAGGACTTTAAGAAAGATAAAATAATAGCATTGGAGGGGTGCCTGGCTGGCTCAGTTGGTGGAAAATGTGACTTTTGGTCTTGGGGTCGTGAGTTCGAGCCCCACATAGATTACATAAAAAAATAAATTAAATAAAATAATAATAATATTGGCTACCTTTTGAATACCTTCAAAACGAGTAAATAGAAGGGCACTGGGTGGCCCAGTTGGTTAAGCGTTCGACTCTTGGTTTTGGCTCAGGTCATGATCTCGGATGAGATTGAGCCCTGGGTCAGGCTTGGGATTCTCTCTCTCTACCCCTGCCCCTCCTGCTTGTGCTCTTGCTTTCTCTCTCTCAAATAAATAAATCTTTAAAAAAGAAACAAAACATAAGTAAATAGAATAATAAAAGGGACTCCCATGTGCCTATGACCCAGCTTCTTACACCAATTTTTTTTCTTAAGATTTTATTTATTTCTTAGCACAAGCAGGGGGTAGGGAGAGGGAGAGAAGCAGCCTCCCCACTGAGCAGGGAGCCTGATGTGGGGCTCAATTCCAGGACCCCGTGACCTGAGCCGAAGGCAGACACTTAACCAACTGAGCCACCCAGGTGCCCCGCCAATTTTGTTTTATTTGAGCTGCTTCTCCATCCCCCACCCTTGATTGTTTTGAAGCTCTTAGATATATTTCATGATAAGTACTTCAAAATGTATCTCTAAAAGAACTCCTTTAAAAAAAAAATAACCACAATACCATTATCACATCATCCAAAAAAATTAATTTCTTATAGTGAGAGGTATTTTTCAAATAAGTCTAAAAATCAAAACCTTGGGTCTGTTTAGCAAGTATTATAAGGCCTTTTACATCCAAGAATTTTATTTATCTTTCCTTTTCCACACAATTCTGTGTGTTGACAGATTTGGTGCACCTAAATTAATTAATTAAAAGATTTATTTGAGAGTGTGTGAATGCTTGAGAGCAGGGGGAGGGGCAGAGGAAGAGCGAGAGAAAGAATCCCAAGCAGACTCCTGCTGAGCACAGACTCCGAGCTCCATCTCATAACCCTGAGATCATGACCTAAGCCAAAACCAAGAGGCAGTGGCTTACTGATCGTGCCACCCAGGCGCCCCTGTATTTACGCATGGTTTAGAGGCATCCCAAAGGTATCAAATATTATTTTTATTTATTTTTTAATGTAATCTCTATGTGGGGCTCAAACTGAGCCCACCCAGGTACCCCTGCCTAAATATAATTATTAATTAGTAATTTCTGTTTACTCTTTTTTATTAATCCAAGGAATATATTGGCTATCAAGGCATTTGGTAGCCAGGTTTTCCAATATGTACTTCTGGCCAAAAGTGAAGAAACTTATTTAGCCTTTATAGCCTTAATGTAGATTAATTCCTTTGGATATTTTACATATTAGATTGATCTCAGAGGGTCTCCAGGAAGTCCCTGGACAGGGTGCCCTTGGGTTTGGAATCACTGTTGCATGAGTTTGGGTACAGAAATCAGCATGGGTGCTCACCAGTGTGTCCCATGAAGTAGGTTTGATGACAGGTAGTGTTCTCAGAGAATTAACATGACCATAAAACAGTGAAATATATGTTAAATGCTAAAAAAGCTATACTGAGATACATTATAAAGTATTATATGATTGTGTCATGAAATGAAAATAGGAAAGTAAAACAACAGAACAACTATAACTTTAACTCTAAGACTTAAAAATACCACTTATAAAAAGTAGTAGGTAAAGTGGGAATTGAAAAATTCCAGTGTAAAATAATTAGAAAGATTGATTAAGGATTGGTGATAAGTTCATAGGATACTAGAAAACATAATTTTTGAGTGTGTACGGATGAGTCACAAAGAGGGACAAGGTGAGTTAAATGTCTGTACCTTGTCAAATCTTAATACAATAAAATAAAAAATAAAAGGAGAAATGAAATATAGTCAAACACAGGCATTTAAAAGTATTCAATGCCTGAGTTAGAGAGTCTGGAAAATGTACCAAGGATATATTTTATTTGTTAGCTTTGTTGTCTTAAGTTTTTATTTAAAACAATATATTTTAAATTAAGAATTTATGACAAAAAATTGTATAATGCTAGTGCATTATATAGAAGAAAATGTGTTCCCTTACTGTGAAAGAACAAACGAAACAAAAAAGTCTTCATCTTAATTAAATGCAGGGTAATAAAGCAAAAAAATAGGAAACAAAAATAAATATAATAATAACAAATATAAACAAGATGAAAACCTGAGAAACACAATCATAGTTTATTCTAATCTGGACTCTGGCTGGGACAACTATTTAAAGCCTTTTTTCTACAAAGACGTTAACTGAAATCCATGTATGTAATATCCTTCTGCTAAGCAAGGAATATAAGACACAAAATAATTATTTCACAGGATGAATATAATGTAGAGTGTAATGATCAATGCATTTGTTTATAAAGTCACCTAATTAGAATACCTTTTTTCATTGTGTACTTTCATGTGTTGTTTTCCTCATTTTCCTAATTTCTTCACTCAGCCCCCACACTGCTCCATTTTCTGCTAAGCTTTGTCATAAAACAAATTGTCATTCCTGATTCTTGTGCCAGATGATCTAATAAGAGACTCATTCAAGGCCAGATTTTTAGCCTCAGCGAATTATTTGTGGAACATCATTAACTACTTTACTTGGTGCCATAGTCTGTTATCAACAATGAATTGGCCATCTTCCCTCTCCTTAGGAAATTTATAATCTGATAAGCTGAATTAACTGGGTCCATCAACAGAATAACTGAGTTTAGACTTACTCTTCAAATCATGAATGAGTTCTTTGTCCTTGTATGTTTTCATAGTACAAATTTTGTTTAACATCAAAAATTATTTAACCAGGGGCACCTGGGTGGCTCAGTTGGTTAAGCGTCTGTCTTTGGCTCAGGTCATGATCTCAGGGTCCTGGGACCGAGCCCCATGTCAGGCTCCCTGCTCCGAAGGGAGTCTTTTTCTCCCTCTCCCTCTACTGCTCCCCCTGCTTGTATTCTCTCACTCTGTCAAATAAATAAAATCTTTAAAAAAAATTATTTAACCATATTCATGGTCCTTCAGCCCGTAAATGCTTAACAGTAAAATTAAAGCTCTTGTATTCCTAGACAGAAAAAAGAAGAGTGAAGAGAGTTCACCTTCCATTCATTTAGATTCTATACTAATAGCTGTCTGACTATTGCCAGACTGTGCCAAGCCCGACATACCCAGCCCTTCAGAGTCAGGAATTTTTGAGTTGTAGGTGACAGAACCCCAATTCATGCTGGCCTGAGTGGGGGTGGGGGGTTGGAGGGAGGAGGTGAGGCATTTGTATAACTGAAAGTATTAGGCATGGCTGCCCTAAACTCGTTCACTTCTGGCTTCATTCTCAGGCAGGCTCTGGGAGGTGTGGCCACAGGTAACAAGATACTCCAAGCTCACATTGTCCTTCAGCAGCCTCAAAAGGACAAGTGCCTCTTCTCAGATAGTTGGAGCAGAAAATACCACCTTGGCTTCTCACATGTCCATCCGTGAACAGTCACTAGTGTGGCCATATCCAGTCCCCTGTCAATGGACATTTAGGCTGTTTTTAATCTTTTGCTAATTATCTACAGCATTATTCATATTAGAAAAAACATTTTTTCTACCCTACAGAAAAATATGAATTCTACTGAAAATGCCACTGTAGAAATGACATTTTAATTTTCTTAACTCTCATAAGTCTGCTGGGTTTACTACAATTCTCAGTCTGTGTCCAGAAAAAAATGAGTACCCAAAGAAGTTAGCCATCAGGCAAATGCAAATTAAAATCACAGTGAGACCTCTACCTCTGAAACCAATAATACATTATATGTTAATTAATTGAATTTAAACAAAAATAAATCAAAAATAAAATCACAGTGAGATGGGGTGCCTGGGTGGCTCAGTTCGTTGAGCATCCAACCCTTGATTTTGGCTCAGGTCATGATCTCAGGGTCATGAGATCCAGCTCCACGTTGGGCTCTATGCTGGGTGAGGAGTCTGCTTGAGATTCTCTTCCTCTCTTTCCCTCTGCCACCCACCCCCACTGCTCACACTCACTCTTATCTCAAAAAAAAAAAAATCACAGTGAGATACTACTAAATATAAACTAAGATGGCTATACTAAAAAAGATAGTGTTATTAGTTCAGATATGGAGAAATTTGAGTGGTCACACATGGCTGGTGCAGTCACTGGGGAAAATAGTCTGTCATATCCTCAAATAGTTAAACAAAGAATTACCATCTGATCCAGCAATTCTACTTCTAGGTATATCCAAGAGAAATGAAGACATATATCTACACAAAAGCTTACACACAGATGTTCATAGCAGTATTATTCGTAAAGACAAAAAGGTGGAAAGAACCCAATTATCTGTCAACTGATGAATGGATAAATAAAATAGATATATATAAATAAAATGTAAATGTAAATAAAATGGAATATTATTCAGTAATGAAAAGAAATTAAGTACTGATACATGTTACAACATAGATGAACCTTGAAAACATACTAAGTGAAAGAAGCCAGTCACAAAGAGCCATAAATTGTACAATTCCATTTATCTGAAATGTCCAGAACAGGCAAGTCGACAAAGACAGGAAGATCAGTGGTTGCCTATGGTTGGGGTATCTTTCTGGGTAATGAAAACATTCTAAAATTGACTCTGGTGATAAATGCACAACTCTGAATATACGCTAAAAGCCAATGAATTGTCCACTTGAAATGAATGAGATGTACATGAATTATATTTCAAGCTGTTAAACAAGAAGTATCTTAAAGACCATATTGACCTATTTTTGCTTTCAGTTCTTCCTACAACTTCAACAGGCAGCACTGGAGGTCTTTGCAGAGAATAACACCCTCAGTAAGTTGCAGCTGGGACAGCTAGCCTCGATGGAGAGTTCTGTCTTTGATGACATGATTAACCTGCTAGAACGTTTAAAGCATGACATGTTGACCCGCCAAGTAGACCACGTTTTTAGAGAAGTTAAAGAAGCTGCAAAATTGTATAAAAAAGAAAGGTGAGTCCTTTTGTATTTGCTGACAACTATCAAATCTAGTTTGCTAAAAATTGAATGATAAATACCTATTTTTCTCAAATTATTCCAAAAATTAGAAGAGGAAGGAAAACTTCCTAATTCATTCCATGAGGACAGCATTACCCTGATACCAAAACCAGATAAAGCCACCACAAAAAAAGAATTACAGGCCAATCTCCCTGATGAATATAGATGCAAAAATCCTCAACAAAAATACTACCAAGCCAAACCCAACTGTCCATTAAAAAAAAAAATCATTCTCCACGATCAAGTGGGATTTATTCCTGGGTTGCAAGAGTAGTTCAATATTTGCAAATCAGTCAGCGTGACTCATTTACATCAGTAAGAGAAAGGACAACCATATAATCATTTCAATAGATGCAGAAAAAACATTTGACAAAGTATAACATCCATTCATGATAAAAACCCTCAACAAATTAGGTTTAGAGGGAGCATACCTCAACATAATAAAGGCCATATATGAAAATCCCACAGTGAACATCATCCTCAGTGAGGAAAAACTGAGAGCCTTTACCCCTAAGGTCAGAACAAAACAGGGATGTCCACTCTCACCACTTTAATCAGCCTAATACTGGAAGTCCTAACCACACAGCAATCACACAACAAAAAGAAATAAAAGACATTCAGATCAGTAAGGAAGAAGTAAAATGTTAATTGTTGATATGATAGTGTATATAGAAAACCTGAAAGACTCCACCAACAAACTGCTAGAACTAATAATTCAGTAAAGTCATAGAATAACGTACAAAAATCTGTTGCATTTCTATACACCAATAATAAAGAAGCAGAAAAAGAAATTAAGGAAACCATCCCATTTACAACTGTACCAAAAATAATAAGATAAACCTAACTAAAGAGGTGAAAGACCTATACTCTGAAAACTATAACACTGATGAAAGAAACTGAAGATGGCACAAAGAAATGGAAAGACATTCCCTGCTCATGGATTGGAAGAACAAACATTGTTAAAAAGTCTATGCTACCCAAAGCAATCTACACATTTAATGCAATCCCTATCAAAATACCAACAGCATTTTTCACAGAGCTAGAACAAACAATCCTAAAATTTGTATGGAACCACAAAAGACTTCAAATAGCCAAAGCAATCTTGGAAAAAAAAATAAAAAGCATAGCTGGAAGCATCATGATCCCAGACCTCAAATTACATTACAAAGCTGTAGACATCAAAACAGTACAGTAGTGACACAAAAATAGACACCTAGATCATAGAACAGAATAGAAAATCCAGAAATAAATCCATGATTATATGGTCAATTAATCTTCCACAAAGCAGGAAAGAAAAATGGGAAAAAGACAGTCTCCTCAACAAATGGTGTTGGGAAAACTGGTCAGCAACATGCAAAAGAATAAACTGGACCACTTTCTTACACCATACACAAAAATAAATTCAAAATAGATTAAAGACCTAAATATGAGACCTGAAATCATAAAAATCCTACAAGAAAACCATAGCAACATTTTTCTAGATGGGTCCCCTGAGGCAAGGGAAACAAAAGCAAAAAATAAGCTATTGGGACTTCATCAAAATAAAAAGCTTCCATACAGCGAAGGAAACAGGAAAACTAAAAGGCAACCTACAGAATGGGAGAAGTTATATATCCAAAATACATAAAGAACTTCTAAAACTCAACACCCAAAAAACAAATAGTCTAATTAAAAAAGGGCAGGGGTGCCAGGGTGGCTTAGTCAGTTGTGTCTGACTTTTTTTTTTTTTTAAGATTTTATTTATTTGACAGAGAGAGACAGCGAGAGAGGGAACACAAGCAGGGGGAGTGGGGGAGGGAGAAGCAGGCTCCCCGCCGAGCAGGGAGCCCGATGCGGGGCTCGATCCCAGGACCCTGGGATCATGACCTGAGCCGAAGGCAGATGCTTCATGACTGAGCCACCCAGGCGCCCCAAATATATTTATTTTCTGAGACAGCTTTTCATGCTGGGTGGTACATCGTTTCTTATCCAAAGTGAACTTCCCCGAATTTGAAAGAATCTGTTAAACCTTTAAAAACACCACGTTTTGAAAATCTTTTATTTATTTTTTATTTTTTTTTAAAGATTTTATTTATTTATTTGAGAGAGAGAGAATGAGAGAGCACAAGAGGGAAGAAGGTCAGAGGGAGAAGCAGACTCCCCGCTGAGCAGGGAGCCCGATGCGGGACTCGATCCCGGGACTCCAGGATCATGACCTGAGCCGAAGGCAATTGCTTAACCAACTGAGCCACCCAGGCGCCCGAAATATATTTATTTTCTGAGACAGCTTTTCATGCTGGGCGGTACATTGTTTCTTATCCAAAGTGAACTTCCCCGAATTTGAAAGGATCTGTTAAACCTTTAAAAACACCACGTTTTGAAAATCTTTTATTTTTTTTAATTTTAATTTTAATTTATTTATTTTTTTTGAAAATCTTTTAGTCACACTTAACGTGCCACAGGCCGCGCTGCTCTTGTGTCTTGCAGGTGGTTGTCCTTGCCGTCGCAGGCCGAGCAAGCTGTGATGTCCCTGTCCAGCTCGGCGTGCCCACTCCTGCTCACACTCAGAGACCGCTCCCTTCAGCTGGAGCAGCAGCTCTGCTTCTCCTTGTTTAAAATTTTCTGGCAAATGCTTGTGGAGAAGCTGGATGTATACATCTACCAAGAAGTAAGTAAGAGTAGGCCGCACGTCAGGGCTTTGAGGATCAAGGCGACCGTTACAGGAACTGCTCTTTGTTTCAGATCATTCTTGCTAATCACTTCAATGAAGGAGGAGCGGCTCAGTTGCAGTTTGATATGACTCGGAATCTGTTCCCCTTGTTCTCCCACTATTGCAAGAGACCAGAAAATTATTTTAAACAGTAAGCTCAATATTTAACAGTGACTACTAAGCATTTAGACGAGGTTGATTCCTTTTTTTTTTTCTAACAACTCTCCGGTTCCAGTGATGTTTGGTAGGATAAATAGAGCATCAACTGAAATTTAAAAACATGCGCTGTGTGCCCAGATAATCTAAGATGTGTTTCATGATTCCCCAAATTTATCAGAAATGGATCTAAATTACGTGTTGGGCTTTTTGTTGCTTGCATTTGGTTTAATTTTGCAAAATGCAAAATTTTGCATTTTGCCTGTTCTTGGAGAGAGAAAATGCGAACAAGTGCAGTTCTGCCACATTCAAGAAGTAGAAGAAATTAAAAATATGCTTAGTTCCTAATAGTAAGCCAGGCCTGAAGAAAATTTGTTTTCCTAAATATTTAGTATTAATTTTGGTTCTAAGCATAACTATAAATGTATGTACAAATAAGTCTTAGGAGTATTTTTAGAAATTGATTTAAAATTTAAATTATTGGGGGGAATTTGAGATTATAAAGTATTCCTTTTAAAGTTATAAAATGAAAGATTTATTTTTGCTCATTTTATTAAGTTATCTGATTCTTTTTTTTTGTTTCTCTTTCCATATTCTAATCTAGCTAAAGTCTTAGCTACATTTAATAGGCTATTGTGTTAGTATCATTATTATATTTTGGGAAGTAATAGAAAACATATTGAAAACAATGGTCCTGTTACATTATAGTAATCTATTAAATATAAACACTGTACAAATACATAGTCCTAATGTGTTAAAAGAGCCAAATAAATCCATCAATACTTTTTACAGAGGGCATATGGACAGTGCAGGGAAGCTGTTTAGTTTTGAAAATATTGTGGAATAATGTGGATGATACAGATAATGGATATCTCATTTCCCGCCTACCTTTTTTTTTTAAACAGTGTAAAAGAAGCCTGTATTGTTTTGAACCTGAACGTTGGTTCTGCCCTACTTCTGAAAGATGTCCTCCAGTCTGCTTCAGGGAAGCCTGCCACAGAGGCATTAAATGAAGTTGGAATTTACAAATTGGCTCAACAAGATGTTGAGATTCTACTTAATTTGAGGACAAACTGGCCTAACACTGGAAAATAATGCATCATTTTTTGTTTTGGAGTTTTTGTTTTTAACAAAGAGGAAGCCAATTGGATTTCAAGTTATATGATGACATTCTGAATTAATGAAACTGGACAATTGAAAACTTTATAGAACCATTTATTATCTTGGACTTAGGGTGTTATTAAAATGCTGACCATATTTTCTCAGTCCTCTTCTTCCTAAGAAACCAAAAACAGAAAACTCAGAAGCCAGGAAAACTCAGAGTAATTTCATTTACAAATACAAATGCTAAGTAGGTCTGTTGAATAAGATACAAGAGCAGAGATAATAAATTACAACGAATTTTCAATTTCCTTTGCTAATTAAGGGAGACTATTATAGATAATCAAACGTAGCAAATAAATTTTTAAAACGTCAATTTAAAATGCATGTTTATAATTGAAGTTCCTGTTTGGAAATTCACTCTATTTCCTGTAAGAAAACATATGAGATGGTGACTAAAACAGAATTGCTCTCATTTTCCACAACTGTCCTTACATTTAAAATCCTTCCTAGGAGCGCCTAGGTGGCTCAGTTGGGTGAGTGTCAGACTCTAGGTTTCAGCTTAGGTCATGATCTCAGGGTTGTGGGATCAAGCCCCATGCACTGGCCTCCATGGTCGGTGGAGAGTCTGCTGGAGATTCTCGCTCTCTTTTCTGCCCCCCAACTCTTGTGTGCACTACTCACTCTCGCTCTCATAAAGAAATCTTTATGAATGAATGAATGAATGAATGAATGCCCTTCCTAGTTCCATTCCATATGACAGTAGGCAGCCTTTCCGTTTGGAGGACACATTTCAGGCCAAAGCGCTGTGTCTGTCTTTCCCCTGGGGTAGGGATGGAAGCTAAACAGTTTTTGTTTAATATTTATGTAAGTGAGAATGAGATGGAAATCTTTAACTTTTTTTTCTTCCGACTTTTCCCTGGCTCTGGCCTCTGTTACATAATGATTTCTTAATTAATAAATACTCAGAGAACAAAATAAAGGAATTGAGTTCCATTGGTTAGAAGCCTTCTACAACTGTCAAATTTTATTCCTTTTTTTTTTCCTGACTTTGCATTTAGTTAGTACTTTTCAAACTGTAATACCTCAAATCTAAAATTGTTGGGCTGTCATGCAACCTATACTGTCTTGTTTTTGGTTTTTTTTTAAGTAAGCTCTGAAGTAAACTCTGTGCCCAACGTGGGGCTTGAACTCATGACCCTGAGATCAAAAGTCTCATTCTCCACTGACTGAGCCAGCCAGGCGCTCACAACCTATACTACCAATAAACATTTGCTTGGTGATAAATAACTTTGAGGAAATACTCTGAGAGAACTTCTATTGCTCCGTATTTTATTGAGAGATTTTCCAACTAGTGTATTGGGAACAAAGCTTTTCTGTTAGTTCTAGCAGACTGGAGCTTCTCTCCCACATTCTTTGAGAACTGCTGGGCTTTCCCATTGAGAAAAGAATTAATCTGCCCCAGGAACTTCCTAATTCCAGACTTGACTGTCATTCCTTGCTTTCTAGATAGCTAAAAGTTTCAAGGGAATGAAATGTTTCTGTCAAAAGGTAGGAACTTCTGTTTTAAATATCAGACATGTAAAAATAAACTTACACTTCAGATCTGAATTTTTCCAAAGTTATTACATGTCCATCATCTTTTAAAACTTCATCTTCATTCAACAGACCCAGGGTTTTTAGGCCTGTAAAATCAGAATGAGAAGAAGGGAAAATTTACGAAGTGAGCATTATTTTCAACTAGGGAAAGTTAAGAAATGAGCACAAACTGTTAGTTCAGTGGGTAGAGGATACTGACCTTCTTTGTACTGCACAAATGATATAGTGCCTTTATTTGAAGTGTCCATCATCTCAAACATAGACACAATGTTAGAGTGATCCATAAAGAAAGGAAAAGCCACGCCTGTTGTTTTGGCAATTCTCAGTTGTTCCAATAGAGATATTAAATACTCTCTTGGCTTTTCTGTAAAAGAATAGTTTCAGTTCTTTCTGATATAAAATTAAGATATATCACAAATGGAAGCAATCATTTAACAATTATTAAATAACTGTTCAAAGTACTGTACTAGGCACTGGGGTCATAGACCTTGCTTACAAGAAAAACAAGACATCAGACAATTACATATATAAAGCACTCTACCCCAGATTTGGAACCTGAGCATTTTTGAAAAAAGCTCCTCAGGTGATTCTAATTCACAAACAAGCATCGAAAACCAAAAAAAAAAAAAAACAAAAAAAGCACAACATGATGCATGGAAGAAGGTAGCCAGCTAAAAGGGATAAAATATAAATATAAATAAAAACAGAGACTCTCAGGGGCACCTGCGTGGCTCAGTTGGTTAATCGTATGCCTTCGGCTCAGGTCATGATCCCGGGGTCCTGGGATCGAGCCCCTCATCGGGCTCCCTGCTTGGCGGGGAGCCTGCTTTTCCCTTTTGTCCGAACTCTTGCTCTCTCTCCCAATCTGTCTCTCTGTCTCTCTCTCTCAAATAAATAAATAAAATCTTAAAAAAAGAGAGACTCTTAGAGTAATATAGTCTTCCAATTAGGAGGCATGAATGTTCACTTCTAACATAAAGGCAGTATTTTGCATAAGTAGGATGTCTTTCATTTAAGCAACATGGAAGATGAAAAAAGAAGATCAATCCACTTTCCAGAAATAATGCAGGTCAGTTATGATGAAAAGAAGCCAAAAGAAGATGGAGCAGCTTAGATGATGACTGCCCCTCACTACACACAGACACAGACAGACACACACACTGTGATTATATATTTCTTTTAAAAACTTTTCTTGATGGGGTGCCTGGGTGGCTCAGTCGGTTAAGTGTCTGCCTTCGGCTCAGGTCATGATCCCGGGGTCCTGGGATCGAGCCCCACATCGGGCTCCCTGCTCAGTGGGGAGCCTGCTTCTCCCTCTCCCACTCCCTGCTGCTCCTCCTGCTTGTGCTCTCTCTCTGTCAAATAAATAAATAAAATCTTAAAAAAAAGACTTTTTCTTGAGAATTTCATAAATATATAAAAGTAGGAAAGTATAATGAACCCATCAACCAACTTTAACCAATTTGTGGCCAGTCTCATTTCACCATCATCTCATCCAGGTCCCCTCTTCCTGTATCATTTTGAAGTCAGTTACAGTGACAATATTTCATTAATAAATATTTGAGCATGTATCTCTAAAAGATAAGGACTTCTTTTGAGATATAACTGACATGTAGCATTGTGTGATACATGTAATTACATAACCTGTTGATTTGATACATTTATAGTTTGCAATATGACTGTCACTGTAGTATTAGCTACACCTTTATCACATCACATAATTATTTCTTTTTTGGGGCAGGAATAATTAAGATCTAGTCTCTCAGCAAGGTTATAATGTTTATTGTACAGTAATACCTTCTGTAAGCACTATGCCGTGCATTCGATTTCCAAGACTGACCTACAAGTTGCAGGTACATACCCTTAAACAACAGCTCTCCCACTCCCCCACCACTCACCATTCTACTCTGTTTTTACAACTGGCTTTTTTAGATTCCCCATATAAGTGATACCATGCAGTATTTGTCTTTCTCTCACTTAGCTCACTTAGCATATCCTCAAGGGGCATCCATGTTGCAAATGGCGGGATTTCCTTCTTTCTCATGGCTGAATAATATTCCATTGTATAAATATACCACATCTTCATTATTCATTCATCTGTAGACAGACACTTAGGCTGTTTCCATATCTTGGCTATCATTAATTATGCAGCAATAAACATGAGAGTGCAGATCTCTCTCTCAGATCCTGTTTTCATTTCCTTTGGATATATACCCAGAAGTGGAATTGCTTGGGCATACGGTAGTTCTGATTTTATTTTATTTTTTTGAGGAAACTCCATACTGTTTTCCACAGCGGGTGCACCAATTTACATTCCCACCAACAGCGCACAAGGGTTCCTTTATCTCCACATTCTTACTTGTTATCTTTGCCTCTTTGATACTAGCCATTCTAACACATGTGGGTGGTATCTCATTTTGGTTTTGATTTGCATTTCCCTGATGATTAGTGATGTTAAACATCTTTTATTTTTTTTAAAGATTTTATTTATTTATTTGACAGAGAGAGACACAGTGAGAGAGGGAACACAAGCGGGGGAGTGGGAGAGGGAGAAGCAGGCTTCCCGCCGAGCAGGGAGCCCGACGCGGGGCTCGATCCCAGGACCCTGAGATCATGACCTGAGCCGAAGGCAGTTGCCCAACCAACTGAGCCACCCAGGCGCCCTGATGTTAAACATCTTTTAATGTACCCGCAGGCCGTTGTATATCTTCTTTGAAAAATGTCTATTTAGTTCCTCTGCCCACTTTTTTTAGTTTATTTTTTTTTTTTAGTAATCTCTACACCCAACATGGGGCTCAAACTCATGACCCCAAGATCAAGAGTCCCGTGCTCTCTTGACTGAGCCAGCCAAGCACCCCGCCTTGCCCATTTTTAAATCAGATTTTTTTCTATTGAGTTGTAGGAGTTCTTTATACATATTAGATCTTAACTGATATATAGTTTGCAAATATTTTCTCCCATTCTATAGGCTGGCTTTTCATTTTGTTGATTCTTTCTTTGGTGGTACAGAAGCTTTTAAGTTTGATGTAGTCCCAGTTGTTGATTTTTTTATTTTGTTGTTTGTGCTTTTGGTGTCATATCTGAAAAATCATTGCCAGGACCGTGTCAGGGAGCTTCTTTCCTGTGTTTTCTTCTAGAAGTTTTACGGTCTCAGGCTGTCTCACAAATTTCATGAATTGTGAACACTTTTTAAAAATAAAAAAGTAGGGGCGCCTGGGTGGCATCTGACTTCAGCTCAGGTCATGATCTCAGGGTCCTGGGATCAAGTCCCACGTCTGGCTCCGTGTTCAGCAGGGAGTCTGCTTCTCTCCCTCTCCCTCTGCCCCTTCCCCCTGCTCATGCACTGTCTCTCTCTCTCTCTCAAATAAATAAAATCTTACAAAAAATAGTAAAGAAAATTTAAAAAGTAAATTTCAACACTTATTGGGCGCCTGGGTGGCTCAGTTGGTTAGGCGACTGCCTTCAGCTCAGGTCATGATCCTGGAGTCCTGGGATCGAGTCCCGCATCGGGCTCCCTGCTCAGCACGGAATCTGCTTCTCCCTCTCGTGCTATCTCTCATTCTCTCTCTCAAATAAATAAAATCTTAAAAAAAAATTTCAACACTTATTCAAATAACATCCACACATTGTGATTATGTTTCTAGATCTCTCTTGTGTCTTTCTGTACAAATTTTAACAGACTATAGAAACAAATGGGTTACTAAAGGCAATCACATCATGTATGTAGTCTTCTGTTGCTTCTCTCTGACCTATTTATCAAATTCAGAAAGAGAAAAAAGGCTAAGTTTGAATTTCAATTCACTACTTTTCTTTTTAAGGATGGAGCAAGTAAATAATCGTAATAGAACTTGGTGTATTTCTCTGATGAAGGATTTTTACTGTATATCCTTTAGACTATATGGGATGCTATAATGTTTATGTCTGAAGTCTATAATTCATACTTTGCCTGCTTCTAAAAATGTTTTTAAAATGCTTACAACAGAAATAATAAAGATATTAACTTTAAAGAGGGGCGCCTGGGTGGCTCAGTTGGTTGGGCATCTTCCTTTGGCTCAGGTCATGATCCCAGGGTCCTGGGATGGGAGTCCCACATCGGGCTCCTTGGTCAGTGGGGAGACTGCTTCTCCCTCTCCCTCTGCTGCTTCCCTTGCTTGTGTGCTCTCTGTCTCTCAAAAAATAAATTAAATTTTAAAAAGATATTAACTTTACAGAAATATTTTATTTTAAAGTAATCTCTCTACCCAACATGGGGATTGAACTCACAACCCCGAGAACAAGAACTGCATGCTCCACTGACTGGGGCAACCAGCCGCCCCTAAAGATATAACTTTTTAAAACATGAAGTGGAGTGCCTGGCTGGATCAGTTGGTTGAGCATCCGACTCTTGGTTTTGGCTCAGGTCATGATCTCAGGGTCCTGGGATCGAGTGCTGTGTCAGGCTCCGCACTGGACTTGGGAGTTGGCTTGAGATTCTTTCTCTCCCCTCCCCCCTCAAGTGTGCACCCTCTCTCTCTCTCTCAAATAAATAAATCTTTAAAACAAAATTAGGGCGCCTGGGTGGCTCAGTTGGTTAAGCAACTGCCTTCGGCTCAGGTCATGATCCTGGAGTCCCGGGATCGAGTCCTGCATCGGGCTCCCTGCTCGGCAGGGAGTCTGCTTCTCCCTCTGACCCTCCCCCCTCTCATGCTCTCTCTCACTCTCTCTCTCATTCTCTCTCTCAAATAAATAAATAAAATCTTTAGAAAAAATCTTCAATAAAAAAATTAAAAAATAAAACATGAAGGGAAGATCCAAATGTTACTAACCACCTAAGTTATATAAATGTCAGCTGATAATGACAATCAGTTTTTCAAAGGAAACAAAACCTCAAGTTCACATCTTAATAACAGCAGCTAATAATTATTGAGCCCTCACTCTGTATGTGCCTGGTATTCCTCATAACCATCACTTCCCTAAGACCCACAGCTAGTATGAATCCAGGCAATGTGTTCCCTAAAATTTGCAGACTCTTCCACACTCTACTAACTCAAATATGGGAAGTATCTGGAACCCCCAAACCTAGTCAGCCGTGATGGTCTCTACTGAGTTCTTCCTCCTCTGTAACTCTCAAAGATATCTTATCCCCCTTTAACCATTCCCATAGCAGCATCTGTCATCTGGGTTACAACTGTCTCCTTTTTAAAAATGAAAGTCTAATTTTATTAAAGGCCTCCCCTAAGCATTTATTCTCCCTCCCTCCCTAGCACAGAATTGTCACTGGGAAGTGACACATTTTCCTATCGAATGACTTCAGGTTATGTTAGATTTTGCTGTTAAATGAGTTGTGAAAATTTGTTGGTTTTCAGGGCTGTTAGAATTTTGGAGTTGAGGACGTGGGAGCTGAGGGACTATTCCCTCAATAGTAGTAATGCAATCCAACTATCTAGTCTTATTTTCCATAAATCCCTCACGATCCAAGCTTTTCAAACTGGGATACATGTCATAACGCCAGAGGCTTCATAAAGACGCGAGGTGAAGACAGTGCTTCTTCCTGAGAGTCAGTCATACTCTGGTGAGTAGTATGAAACATTTATAGTAAGAAATGGATATATCTGTAGAAGAACAAAACTCGTAAATTTTTATGGTAAAACAGGTGACTCCAGAGAAACTTGTCAGGCAGCATCAGGCTAAGGTCTCAGACACCAAAGGTACAAGTCCCCTCTTCTTTGCCATTAAGAGGATCTGGGCAGGGAACTTGGAGAGGCATTGCCCTGTACCCTGGACACCAGCCAAACCCTTCCTTAGCTTCTCCTCTGTATTTCTTCACCTTTTCCCTGCCCCTCCCCACCCCCTTTGTAGTTTGTAGAGATGTTTCAAGAAGTTCACATTGTAGGGCGCCTGGGTGGCTCAGTCGGTTAAGCGTCTGCCTTCAGCTTGGGTCATGATCTCGGGTTCTGGGATGGAGTCCCCGCATCAGGACTGCTCAGCGGGGAGTCTGCTTCTCCCTCTGCCCCCCCACCCCCGGCTCAGGTTGTGCGCGCATACACTCTCCCTCTCTCTCTCAAATAAATAAATAAGATCTTTTTATAAAAAAAGTTCACATCGTTACAGGGGGTAACAGCATCCCATTGATAATTAGAAGACAAAGGGGCAACGCCCTCCAAACTCGGAGAGCAGTATTTTCTAACCGGGAATTGTATCTACCCTAGTTATCATCATGTTTGAGGGGAGGATGAGACACTTTCATATACGTGAGTTCTCAAAATATTTACTGCTCGAACAAAGCACACTCTCTCAGAGAACCACTAGAGGATGTGTTCCTCTAGAAGAAGCGGGGAAAGCAAAAAAGAGGGAGACCCAGCACCATAAAACAAACAGGCTGTGAGCGCAGGAGAGAGGTGAAGAGGATTAGGGTTAGATAGAGGGAAACCCCCGAATGATTGCCACACAGCACAGCAGGGCAGCTGGGCCATCGGTCCAGCCTGGAGCAGTAAGACAGAAAGAGCCGGGGGATGTGCTGGGGGTGGTGATTACAGGATGAGTCTCCTTTTCCTACTGAGAGGCGATCTCTGCTTGCGACAAAAAGAGGATATCGATAAATCAGTAGTAATGACACAGAAAATTTAAGTAAACATTTAAAATGTAGTATTATTAATTCCAGGGAAATCAGCAAAGGAAATATAATCATAGCATGCTATATGGATTAGCTGTGGATATTTGCCTAATAGTAATGTAAATTCTGACTACTGGTCACACCAAAACTGAATTCTAACCTTATTGGGAAGGTGGGGATGAGTGGGGACAGGTGTGAGTGTGTGTGCGCGCTCGAAGTTTCCTCTTACGTGGTATGAAGCTAAATCTAAACCTGGGGGGTTGGGGGAACATTAGTAAGTAGCAGTGCAAGTCTGTGATTTAGAAATATCAAGGTAAATAGCTAAAGGAGTTGGGAATCATTCTGTAGAGTAGGAATCTGGGACAGGGAGGGACATGCTGTTTTTTACTATAAGCCTTGGAGTGCTTTTTGATTTTTAAACCCCATACGTATCCTTTTATAAAAAATCAAAATGAATGGTGGTTGCCCCGCATAGGGTTAATTTACGTATTACTCATTTAATCTTCCCGACGTGTCCATAAGCTCGGTACTGTTATCCCCATTTTCCAGAAGAGGACACTGAAGTGCTGGCCCTCGCCCACGCTCCCCTAGTCCTAAGGACGACCCTCCCCCGAGCCTCTCTCCCACCCGCCACGAGCCTCCCCCTGCGTGAGTCCCGCGCCCCTGGCCAGTGGGAGACACAAAGAGGCCGTTCAAGAAGTACTCGTTTGAGGGCCACGGCGCGGGTTGGCAGAAGGGCTCAGGCAGCCGAGAGGCGGGGGCGAGGGTGCTGTGGAGGGGGGTTACCGGGGAGCAGAGCGGGCCGGCGGCGCGGGCGTGCAGGGACGGCTGTACCGGGAATTCCCGTCCGGGCGGGGAGGCGGGTGGGACCGAAAGCCGAGTTCTAGGCCAGACCCTTACCTGGCCGGGAAAAGAGCAGGGCGCTGGTGAGATAGTTCAGCAACTCCATAATCTGATGTTTTTCCAGGTAATTCTTGGCCTCCAGCTCCCTGTTGCCGCCCGCCTGCATTGTTCCGCGTGGGGGCGTTGCTAAGCGACCGGGCGGCGGCGCGGCCGTCGGGCTCCACCCCCTCCGCCCGGCGCGGTCATGTGACGCGCCCCCCTTACGGGGCGACCAGGGCCTGGAGTTCAGGACTTCGTCACCGCGGGGAAGCCTGGGGCGGCGTGGGGTGGGGCCCGCGCCGAGGCCGACGGTGCGCGGTGCAGAGGCCCTGGTGGGCGGATGGGCGGGTTCCCCAGCCCGGCCTGACGGCTGCGCCTGATGCGCTTTTCCTGTTTTCGTCTCTAGCACCTAGCGCAGTACTTGTTGACCCAATGAATGAGACCTCAGGTTCTAATAACACAGGATGAACTCACCACAGAAGGAACCTGTGGAATTTTAGAGGATACAGTGGAGAGTCCTAAGTCCCATCTTCAGTGGGAGCAGCCTGCAGCACAACGCGGGCGACCGGGCAGCAAGACAGCCGGTTTTCTCCCCTGGATCGTGGGTCAGGGAAGCATGCTGGGATCCTGAGCTCCAACCTCGACTGCTTAACTGGGCTGCGTGGAGCTGGTCGTATCGGCCAGAGACCCTCCGACAGTAGTTTTGAGGGTATGTCGCTGAGCAAGATGGGATGCAGGTGCCTAGGAGGGCCGCTCCTCAATCGTCGTTGTACCTTCGGAACTACACTCTAGGCTGGGACATCTGTCCTTGAGTGCCAGGCTCTGAAGCCCGTGGCCTTCCCGCTCACCAGAACAGGCACTTAAAGGAGAGAAAAGACAAATGGCCAATATACATGAAAATATTCCCAGCCTCTTCCGCAGTCCTGTAAACATATTAACACTACCAGACAAGCCAGTCTAGGGGCGCCTGGGTCGCTCAGATGGCTGGGCGTCTGCCTTCGTTCGGCTCAGGTCATGGTCTCCGGGGCCCGGGATCCAGCCGTATGTCCTGCTTCCCCCTCGCCCTCTGCCTCTCCCCCTGCTCCTGCTCTCACTCTATGTATCTCTCCGTCTCAAATGAATAAATAACATCTTTTAAAAAAAGAAAAAAAGAAAGTGCCAAGTTTACATGTACCGGACTGGTAAAAGTTAGGAAGTTGGACGATATCGAGGGCAGGGCAACAAAACAGCCAATGATGATGGAAGCATAAATTGCAACATCCACTTTGGAAAAACGATTTTGAATTGTTTTGATAATATAAACATGTTTCTGCGCTATGACCCAGAAATTCCACTTGGAGAGCAACCCTTGGACAGGTATACCAGGATATATGTACAAGAATGTTCACAGCAGCACCGTTCATAATAGCAAACACTGACAGCAACCCCAAAGTTCACCAAGAACACAATGGATTGGGCTGCCTGGGTGGCTCAGTTGGTTGAGTGCCCGCCTTCGGCTCGGGTCATGATCCCCGGGGCCTGGGATTGAGTCCCACACTGGGCTCCCTGCTCCGCGGGGAGTCTGCTTCTCTCTCTCTCTGACAAATAAAAAAAATCTTTGCTCATGGACTATGATTCTTTATACTTTATATGTATTTTACAATTTTTAAAATCTCAGCATTTAATACCAATCATTTTTAAGCAATTGAAAAATTGAAAAACAAACAAACAAACAAGGAACCAGAAAGCCAATGCCAGGGGACTGAACCAAGTCTGAAACAGAAGGTAGCTTTGGGCATTTGGGGACATGGACTGAATCTTCAGAGGTCAGGGCCCCCCTTAAGAATTCTGTGCCCTGAGCATCTGAGAGAACTTGAGAAGGAGATTGGTTGGGAGATTGGCACAACCTTGAGCAAAGAGGAGGGACAAGCCTCTTTGTCTTCAAAGTCTGGAGGAGGCCCTCCAAGAAGGAGGAGGAATCATTTCTCTGAAATGATCTGAACATCATGTACCCAAATTTGCAACAGACCTTAGGTTTCTAGGAAGGAGAATATTTCAGGATGACGTAGGAGAGTGCCTGGCTAACGTTTTAGCAGCAGAATCCTTTGAAGAAATCATACGTGGAATCCCCACATGCAGAACAGATACAAGAGAGCCCTGCATTGGGATTCCTATGTAATTCCTATGTAATGCCTGTGATCGAAGCTACTTTAGTGGTACTTTTCTCACAGAGGCCGGCTGCAGCCTGCAGGATCCTGGTGACAGAATTACCTGGAGCCTGGTGAGCCCTGACAGAAGGAAGCTGACAAAGTAGATGCGTTACTCTGGGGCCTGTGGACCTGAGGGCCAGCTCGGACCCCTGGTTCTTGTTGGGTTCTGGGGAGAATTTGTAACTACTGACGTGCGCTGTTATTCTTCAGTGTGTTTTGATCCTTCCTTTGGGGACTTGCTTCATGTTCCCTGGTGGAGGACAGTGAAGCACAAACAGCAAAGCCTAACGTGTGCACCCCCCTCCAAATCATTGCCACCCAAATGGTTGACCCTTCAGGGCTGCCTGAAGATGTGTGATCACTTAGGAAAGTGACTCCGGCTCAGCACAGCAGAGGCCAGATAATGGCAGGAGGACTAAAATGGTGAGCTCAGGGGCGCCTGAGTGGCTCAGTCGTTAAGAGTCTGCCTTTGGCTCAGGTCATGATCCCGGGGTCCTGGGATCGAGCCCCGCGTCGGGCTCCCTGCTCGGCGGGGAGCCTGCTTCTCCCTCTCCCACTCCCCCTGCTTGTGTTCCCTCTCTCGCTGTGTCTCTCTCTGTCAAATAAATAAAATCTTTAAAATAAGATAAGATAAAATAAAATAAAATGGTGAGGGACCCCTTCAGGGATAGAGGTTATGGGAAGCAGAAGACAGAGGGGGCTGGTCATGGTGTCTTTTGACTGACTGGCCTAAGATCCAGGGGAAGCAATGTAAAAATGTCAAGGGGCGGTTAAATATCTGGCTTTTAGTTTTGGCTCAGGTTGATCTCGTGGGTCATGGGATCGAGCCCTGCGTGGGGCTCCATGCTCGGCGTGGAGTTTGCTTGCCCTTCTCCCTCTGCTCCTCCCTGGCTTGTGCTCTCTCTCTCTCTCTCAAATAAATGAATAAAATCTTAAAAAAAAAAATGTCAGGACTGTTCCTTAATGGAGGGAGAGAAGACTCTGGGGTGGTCCATTGGAGACAGTGATTTCTGCCTGGTGCTCTAAGCTCAAGACAGTTGGTCTTCTCTGTAGGAACGTCATTTACTTCCCATGGGTTACTCAGTGCCTGAATAAGTAACTCTGCTCTTTGAACCTCAGATGACACGAGAACGTTGACTTGGAAATGGAGGAATCTGATCCCTGTGACTATGGAGTCAGGCTGATAGGCTGAGGAGAGTACACTGGACTCTGCTGACGTCTTCCCGACTCGCTGTTTTCTCTTCCAGCAAGCCTGGCTAGGTTTGTGTGCACGGTGCTCCCTCTCACAACACACCTCAGGCAGCTAAGGCCCCAAATCTGCGATTCCCGAGGAAGTCATGCTAAAGAGAAGCATCCAGATGCCACCTAGTGGAGTCAGCTATTCGTTGTTGATGCCATCTCTCTCCTTTAAGATTTTATTTATTTGGGGGAGAGAGAGTGTGCGTGAGCTCGAGCCGGGGTAGGGGCAGAGGGAGAAGCAGACTCCCCGCTGAGCAGGGAGCCCGATGTGGGGCTCGATCCCGGGACCCTGGGATCATGACATGAGCTGAAAGCAGACGCCCAACAACTGAGCCACCCAGGCGCCCCATGTTGGTGCCATCTCTTAAGGCAGTTTGGGCTTTATAACCATCATCAACATCGTCATCCTAATGCGTCACCATCTCTTAGGCTTCCCCAACGCCCTCTCCTTGTTATTGCTAATCCTTTCAGTGGTTTGGGAGAGTAACTCCAGATGGTTCCCAATCACCACTGCACATTAGAACCAACTGGGTCCTTTAGAAAGTACTGGAGGCGCGGCCCAGTTCCAGGCACATGAAATGGAATCTCTTGAATTGGGACCCGAATATTGGTAGTTCTGTTGTTGTTTTAAACAGCATGATTGAGGTATAATTAGCATTTAATAAACCGCACATTTTTAAGGTGTACTCATTGAGAAGTTTTGATGTATGTATACATCCATGAAACTCTCGCTGCAATCAAGGCGGTCACCCGCAAAAGTTTCCCTGTGTCCCTTTCTAGTTCCTCCCTCTACCCCTCCTTAACCCTGCTCCCCCCATCACCAGGTAACTCTGACAAGCTAGCTATTACTCTAGATTAGTTTACATTTTCTGAATTTTATACAAATGGAACCATACAGTATGGGTTTGTTGTTGTTGTTTTGGTTCAGTAAGTGTCTTTCACTCAATATAATTATTTTTTGAGATTCACCCGTGTTGTTGCATGGTGCAGTATTCCATTCCTTGCTAGTGCTAAGATTTCAGGGATGGAGGTACCACAATCTGTTTATCCATTCAGCCATTGATAGACATTAGGATGGTTTTCAGTGTGGAGCTATTAGAATGGTATATGGATCTTTGGGTGGACATGTGAATTCATTCCCGTTAGGTAAGTAGCTAGGAGCGGACTGCTGGATCACATGATAAGTGCAATTTTTTGAGACACTGCCACACTGTTTTCCAAAGTAGCTGTTCCATTTTACATTCCCAAATTGGTGGTTATTAAGGGCCTCCCAGGCGAGCCTGGTGGACGGCCAGGACTGAGACCCTGCCTTAGGGCTGCCTGGGAGGCCCGAGCTGAAGGTCTGAGAAATGTTGCTCAGGACACCCGAGAGTAGAGGCCCACAGCCCGTCCCCACTCAGGACACACACTGGAACCTCCTGGGGAGCCTTTTACAAACACAGCATCTGCGCCCTCACCCACACGGACTCTGATGTAATTGCTTTGGGGACAGGGCAGGTGTGGAGGGCTGTCTCAGGCATCGTGGCTTTTTAAGAGCTTCCTGGGTGGTTCAAGAGCACAGAATGACTAACTCCCCCTGTTTGCCTAGGACCCCCAGGGGGCCAGTTCTGAGAAACTTTTAACGATAGAACTAGGAAAGTCCCAGGTGAGCTGAGCACTTGGTCCCCCTGTTGGTAGACCACTAGCATGAGGAGCATGGGCTTTGGTGTCAGACCCGCCAGTCTGCCCGTGCAC